TTATTTTATTTTATTTTTTCTGGTGCAGGAAATTGCCTTCCAAAGTAAAAGATCCCCAGACCGTATTTGGTTAACCGTATAGATATTTTTACAAACAAACCAAAACACGGAAGACTCTAAACCAATTTGTCCCAAAATGAAACGTTTCTTTTAGGCATACAAACTAGATTTTACTTTATTTTCACAAGTTTCACAGCAGCAGAACGTGTTGATATTGCAGCATCAATCACAGAAGGCTGGACCTAATCTCGAGTCTCCATCACAACCTACACATTTCCCTCAGACAACTCCGACACAAACGTGAATTATTTTACATAAATTAATGCAGATTTTGGAGAATGTTGTTTCACTTGAAACATGGCTTTCTTTATTGCTGATGTCTGTCTGAAACCACAATAAGACACTTGGATAATAATAAAATTTCCATGTTCATGCTTTTATACTAAAAGGGGGAAAAGCAGGAACAGAATTGCCCCAGTTTTTGTCTTGAACCACGAGTACAAGAATAGATATCGCTGCAGAACACACCTGCTACATTGTTCCTCCCGAGACTTTGCTGGGTAACACTGCAAGGGCACACGTGTCACACAACAGCAATCTAACTATGTAGCGGAGACGATGTTGCTTGGAGATCTGCTATTTTTTTCCCTAAAAAACTCCCTACAGTGTCTTCCTTGTTGCCACTAAACCCTGCTGTTTTCTCCAAGTGGTTCTCGTTGCAACCTAGATCTCACTTTTGACACCTGCCTCTCTCTTATCTCATCGTCTCAACAATTTTCTCACTCTAGATTGAATTTCTCACAGATTCTGTCAAACAATCAATTTCTCCACTGGCTTTTTGATGACAAGATTGCAAAACCTCCTTTGCTTCTGTCCTCTCCTGCATGGTTGCCTGTTTAAAATGACAGCTTTCAGAAAAGAAGCACAGTTTGTTTTTGCATAATGATGGCACGCATGTACATCTTTTATCTTTTAACAAGCGAGTGGACATTTACAGTACGTCTGCTGATTACAGCTGCACAGCAGGGAAATCGGTAACATGGGAACGTGTTCCTTCATGAACATAGTTGATTAAACAGTCCTTTAGCAGTTACTGAGAAAAAGGCTTTAGCATTTACACATTCTGTTAATGCATGCATAGCAGATGATAAGCTGCAGAATCTAGATGTACCCCTTTCTGGTGGGTCCCTGTGGAGAGAGACAGTAATAATTTGTGGTGACAAAAGGAGAAGACACTCGAACGGAGATGTCACAACATCCCAGGAGGCTGCTTATTGCTCACAGAAATGCTGTCTATGAATGTTTCATGAGTGTCAGAATATTAGTTTTGACGCAACTGACACATCTGCTAAGTAAGTGTGTCTGCAAGCTGCAGCTTCACCATGGAAAGGTGGACTGTAGATGAGAAGGCATAGCAGGATGCTCGCTTTCTTAAATCTTTACCTCTGGGACGGGTGGGGGTAGCTCACCCCTACATGGGGAGGTTGTGCTCACACAGCCTTCTCAGAAACGTGAGTGAGGACATGGGTGGGTTTCGCTACAGAGGTGCGGAAGAGCCTGTGATGTCATTCCTAAATGCTACAATTTAGTAAACAAAAGTGTGCATGAGCAACGTTTCTTTTAGAGACTCTGACATGAAGCTCCCATCCAAGAGCGCCCAAAGCAGACGGTCAGTCCTCACAGTGGGGCTGAAGGTCCACCCAGTCCAAGCTGCAGTCAGAAAAGATGTTTAACCTATCTAGACTGTCAGTGACTTGCGCACACAGAAAGCCGTCGCTGGCTGAAACTACCTGCACCAATGAATAGAGGCTCCCACTAGTAGGAGGCGTGGGAGTGACAAAACGTCAGCCGGCCAATCAGGCCATAGGTGGATGTGTGTGGTCAGCTCAGCATGAAATTAACTGATTTTTCACAAACATCTTTAATGTAAATGGAGTGACCTCCTCCAGCCCAGACCGATCTGATCGTAGTGTACATTTAGTGAGAAGGGTGACCTGGTGGAGGTTAAATTTTGTACACATTTAGAAATAGTTCGGATTTATTGTGTTTAAATTGCAACAAGAAAATTTGCTAAAGTATTATGAGATTTTCTTAATGTGTTTATAACTAAGTCATAAGTCCCAGCAGGCATGTACATGTATGACATTTGCAAAAGTTTCATGTTTTAATTCAGTGTGATTCTAACAAGAAAGTTTTAGAAGTTTCTGTGACAATTTGTGTCTCCAACAAGTTGCCAAGAGTCACATCCTTTAGGCTGTGAGGTGCCTGGATTACCTGCACAATGTGTCCGCGTACTAATTCGTAAATGTACAGGAAGTAAGAAATGTAAAAAGTGAAATGATGTGAGCAACATAAAGAAAATATTTTTTAAAGTTTCTGGCAAGTATAGGACATTTTAAACATTACAGCAATGAAAGCATTCAAAAGAGTAAAGATGAGGAAGGTTGACTGCAGATTCCAAAGAAATGCATAAACAAGGAACTATTTTTTTGTATGAGGACTCAAGGGTTTTAATTATGATCAGCATCCCTCAGGCTGGGGCTCCCAGCTGCTTCAGCAGGAAAGTTGGGTTCTTTGTTTATTCAGAAATAATGTAAATGTATCCCATTTTTATGCTAAAATGCAAGAACAATTAAAATTTTGTATCTGTAAAAACATTTTTGCCAAGGAAACAGAGTTTTTTTTCACAAAAGCAGAAGGAAAGATGGAATTATTTTAATTGATGCATGAGCTAAACTCAGTTATAAACCCAGGAGAAAAACACAAGCATCTGCTTAAGCCCCTCCCCTTTCAGTCCACGTGTCCTCACCTCATTATGAGGTTTTGGCATCCTCATTACCCCATGTCTTATCTATGTTATTTTTAATATGCAGCAGGCAGCAGTTTACAGTGACAACAGTAAATCAGCCTCTTGCTGAGGGCTCAGCAGTAAAAGTCAAACAGACCCAGCTGGAGCCAAGCCGAGCCAACGGCAGCTGAACACACCGAGCCAGATTTCCCTCTCGGGATTTGGTCAAGAAATAATTCAGTTATAAGGAAGCCATCAAATTCAAAACGAAAACCTAAAGCTTTTTTTAACTGTTAAAAATTTCACTTGATGATTAGAGAAATGTCAAAAATAACAGCCAGAACTTTTCTTTAGAGCTTTTTGCTTCAAGCAGGAAGAGTCAGCAAATGTCAGATGGATGCAGAAAACTCTTTCTTGCAGATGAAGGCGTTGTTTCCATGGTGACACCGCTCCGATCTAACAAGAGGTCTTCAAGTGGTTTCGATGCAGAACACAAACCGTACACTACAGCCTTTTTAGTCCTTGACCTTCCACCTACAGCTCAGAGACATTTATTTATTTATTTAATGTGTCCTGGCTGTGAGGCAATCAGAATTGATGTCTGAATATTGAAGGCAAGCCTTACAGTTTTTGTCTTACAGGTGGAGCGGTATAGATCATCTACAATGCCACGCCTGATACCAAAACTTTATTAGAAATATATATATATATATATATATATATATATATATATATATATATATATATATAATTTTATTTTTTATACCAACAGACACAGAGACTGAAGTGTAAGAGAAAAGGGGAGACAGAAGTAGGAGGTGGGGGAGGGGATTCATAAAAATAAACAATAAATGATCAACAAAATTCTGTAAGAAAGAGAGGGGAAAAAGGACACAAAAAATACAACATAACCAAAATATCACTGCTTCAACAACATGAGGATATACAAAAGTAACACATTTTGCTGAGAAACATACAATAATAATTCATGGTGCATTTAGTGCCAACCACAGCCACCACACAGGTGATGTGTTGAAAATGCCCAAGTCCATCCTTGTGAGAGCACCATGTGAGCACCTGTGTGTGTACACACGCTTGTATATGTAAGGTTTCTCTATATGAGTGTTCAATAACAGGGATCCAGACCCCACCAGGCAGCCACCAGGAGTGACTGACACAAATTTCTAAAACTCCAAAAGGCAACTCACGACTCCTTATAAAGGTCTGTAGGTTTTGAGGTTTTAATGGTTTTCAGTGACCAAAATCAATTCTTTCTTGTGAGAATTCCTCAAATTCTATTAGATATTTGAAAAATGTTACATTTTATAATTAAATATTTTAGATATTTGCATCAAAATAAATGATAAATAACCCACACTTGTATAGCGTCTTTCAGAGGTTGATGAGTTCAAAGTGCTTTACATTAGTGTATCATGCATCCATTCATACACATGTTCACACCCTGGTATAGGGATGAGCTGATGTAGCCACAGCTGCCCTGGGGGACACTGACAAAGGTGAGGCTGCTGAGCACAGGTGCCACCGGTCCCTCCGACCACCACCAGCAGGCTGGGCGTTAGACGTGGCCAAAGTGAGTTTTCTCCGCAGGGTGTCTGGGCTCCGCTGCTCCTCCACATCGAGAGGAACCAGTTGAGGTGGCTCGGGCATCTGGATAGGATGCCTCTTGGATGCCTCCCTGGTGAGGTTTTCAGGGCACGTCTAACCAGAAGGAATCCTAAAGGAAGACCAAGGACATGCTGGAGGGACTATTGGGCCATTCCCATCTGTACCGGTTCGGCCCGGACCGGGTAGCCCCAGTCGGTCCCAGCCTGGCCCGGTTGATTCCACACATCCTTGCCTTAAGGCCATGTGGGCTGATTCTACCCACCAATCAGAGGCTTGCTCTAATGGAAGGTGTGCATTTGCTGTCAGCAGTGGGTGTGTTGGCCCTGGTCGGCCTGAAGCAGACCCCCTCGAGAAGAGGGCTGAGAATGAGCCTTGGTTGGCCCGGAAAAATACCAGGCCACCCAGATATGTAAACAACCTACGCTACCCGGCCCGGGCCGACCCGGTACAGATGGGAATGGCCCATAAGTTTCTCAGCTGGCCTGGGAATTTCTTAAGGAGTCCCTCGGAGCAGCTGGCCCAAGTGGCTGGTGTCGTATATAATTTCCATCTGTATTTCCAGTCATTATTTTCTATTAATGATATTTGTTCATTAAAAACATCCCAACAAGACTTTTCCTCAGGAAACATGGAAATCCCTGTGTGGAAAACGAGTGATTGCTGCAGCACAGCACTTTCTCCTTTACTTCTCTTTTATTTCTCTTTTTGAAAACATCAGAGTCAGCAGCAGCTTGCCTTTATCGTATTTTACTGCTGTGCATGGACAGAATTTCACACGGCCGGCTTCTGAGGTAATAAAGAGGATGACGCAAAGCCATTTGCTCCACCATCCCTGCACAGGCCAACCTCATCATGGTCAACTGCACCACCCATCCCCCCTCTGTTAGTTAACTGCCTGTCCATTGGTGGATGAGCTGGCTGTAAACTACACCAGGTCTGCTAATTAATTAATGGACCCTAACTGCAAGGCTGGCTCCCTCCTTTATACTGGAGCATTTTTCAACTGGCTGCAGTGGTGACTGTCTGTGTGTCTGTGTGTGTGTGTGTTTGTCTTTAGGATGGAGGAATTATTTGTTGTGTTTTAGGTACAAAAGCAACAGATACAGGGGGCAGAGGAACAGACAACTGTAGATAGCCTTCACAGTCAATCAACTTTAGTGGCCATTATTGGTCCTGTCCTGTAAACGGCGCCAGTGGAGGCAGGTGGGCAGACAGAGGAAGAAGCAGACAGCAAAAAGGATAAGGGAAGAGGAGTCAGGGTGGCTGCAGGGAGACAGAAGGGGAGAGAATGGTTGGGGAACAGCCAGTGTGCCCACCTCAGCTCCTTCTGCGGGGCTGGGGAGCAGTGCTGCTGTCTCAGTGCCTGTCCTCCGTGGTCTCCCAGGTCCCGGATCCAGCGGTAAGAGCCTGATAATGCACCAAATCCTCTTTTGGGCTTTTTTTATCCCACAAAAGTAACCTAAACGATTTCTGCCTTTGCTGTCTAATATATGACCTGCATGAATTGATGTCATTTGATTGGTGGCTAGGGTTGTTACTTGGCTTACAGGACTGAGTGGATCGGTGTTCAGACCTGATGGACGTGGGCTGGCTAAAGGCTTACAAATGTAGCCGTGTAACTGGCAGCTGTTCAGCATTTGGGCTCAGCAGAAAGAAAGAAATACATTCCAGACTAACTGGCTTTAAAAGAAGCTCAGTGGTAATGTTTTGGTTCAGAAAATCTGCGCTTTTGGTGGAATTCTGGTTATGTCATGAAGTGAGTGAGACTGGGTATGAAAAGCTGGTAAAATATTTACTAAATAGACTGGGTTGAAATATTTTTTTATTAGTCAGAGAACAAGTAATATTACATTGTCTTTTTTTATTTATTGAAATTGAAATTGATGGCAGAAAATACCATAATCTCCTAACCCACCCCTTCTACCTGCCCTCATGATGCACTTACAGCTTTAACCAAATTGACTAAATAACCTCATGCTCATTGGATTGCATATTAACACAGAAAAATCACAAATATTTCATACATTTGAAATAAAGTAGTTTTAAACAGAATACATCTTTGGAATTGTCCTTTAAACTGGAAGGTTGATCTGGAGATCATAACCTTGAATTTCTCGTGAACAGTCTCCAGAAGGTTAAAACAAAAATTCTTAGATAAAAGGAGGTAATCAAAACTATCCTTGGAGGTCCAAAAACCAACTAACTAGTCAAAAGTCTATTTGGAATGAGAATTCTGATTTTTTTAGGTAAATACAATAGTTTGAAGTTTGAGGTCATCATGTCTTTCAGTCTCTGTGGTTTTTGCTCCACCAAAAGAAAAACTGAAGTTTTTAACCTTGATTATTAATTGCACTAGAAGAGATGACCCACAAGCACTAGGTGTAGGCGTGTGTGTAGGTGTTTTATAACGTCTTGTACTGAGACACGTGCATTGATGAAGTCAGGTCTAAAAAAACGGCTAAACAATAAATAAATATTTTAAAATACTCCTTTGTGTGTACGAACATAATGAGATGCAAACATCAGGTGTGTTAAGTAGTCTAAAACCGATCATGAATATTAGCTGTTTTTGAATTAGTTTCTTTTTTGCCATATCTACTGAATCTTGGAAAAAAACAAAGTTTCTTTAAATGCGTGTTTGCAGTCGGAATCTTTTTAAGTTATTTTTTGTGGATCCTTCTTTTGCTCCAGCACAAAAAACATGAATGTTTTGCTGGAAATAAAACAAAATCTGTATTTATTTCTCATTAATGGCTGGTGGTCTGAGGGACCGGTGGTGCCAGTGCTCGGCCAGCTTTGCATAGTAGCTCATCCCCACCAACGTGTGAATAGGTGAATGACTGATTGTGTTGTAAAGCGCCTTGGGGGGGTTGTAGAACCCTGAGGAGGAGCCATACAAATACAGGCCATTTACCATAATTTCATGTGAAACTCCAAAAATTAGATCATCGTGCAAAAGTTAATTTATTTCAGTAATTCAAATAAAAAAGTGTAACTAATCTATGAGATAAACTCATTACAAGCAAAGCCAGATGTTCCAAGCCTTTGTTTGTTATAACTGTGATGACTGTGGCTTACAGCCTATGTGACCCCAAATTCTAAATCTCAATTAGAGTATTGTGAAAAGGTTCAATATTCTCGACTCAAAGTGTCACACCCTAATCAGATAATTAATCCAAAACACCTGCAATAGGTTCCTGGAGCCTTTAGATGGTCTCTCAGTCTAAGTAGAATTAATGAAATAAATGAACTTTTGCTAAATATTCACATTTTTCCAAGGTTCACCTGTAAAATAAAGTCACACCTATCAATGTAGAATTTGTTGCAATGTTTACTAATTTTAGTGCAAACATCAAAGCACAGAATCTCAAAATTCTCTATAAAAGCTGCTATAGCGAATCTGTTGTCAAGTTAGGTTTTCAACATAAACATGGTCACTGAACATTGCTCCCCTCGTCTATCTTCTTTGAATCGCTTCTGCCAGAACTGGAAACCCACATTTCCAGAGGAAACAAGATAATGCTAAACAACAGGATCAAATGTCTTTTGTCGTCCGTGACTTCATATGATATTTTACTTTTTGTGACTCTGGTAGTTTGTCCTAAAGTTGAAGTGGTAGCAGCCGGCTGTTTCTCCTTCTCTGATATTATTGAGTGTAGAACGTCTCACACTAGTTGTGTTCTGTTGCTAAATACGCGAGTGCGAAATGAGTGGAGGACCCAGGGAAGTGCGAAAGTGCGACGCTTTGGCGAGACCGATTACCGGATGGTCCAATGGTTGCTTTTGGTCCAAAACGTGTTATTGGCTGAGATTTTAGACAACTGTCGTCATTTGCATTTTTTTACTGTGTGGGCGTCGGAACGAGCAAATCGGAAAAGCTTCTGCCGATCACAATTCGACAACGGATTATGAAAGAATGGAAAACGCTCAAAGCTCGCAGATTCTTCCTGAGATAAGAGATGAGTCCACTCTTTGTTTTGGTAGTTTTGGCATTGACATCATCATAGAGCCCAAAATTCTGTGGCTCTTAAAAAAACTGTGAAAACTCTGACAAAACGCTGGCAGTGAAGACCTTTTCTGATCAGGAAATGGCTAGCAGGTAATGAGTTAAACATTTTTTCAATCTCCACAATTATTTTTATCTACCCTGTGTTAGAACGTTGTTAAGAGGCATGAAAAAAAATTGAATTATTTGTTTTCCAAAAATTTGCTTTAACACCTTTAAGTCAGAGAAAGAAACAATGTGAAACAGAGCAGTAACCACCATTTTTCTGATTTTGTTCCAGTGCTAAAAGCTGATATTTACTTGAACTCAATGAAACACACACAAAAGAAAATGGAGCATAAATACTCATTTATTTTTCAAGGAAAGGCCACCTTTCTGGTGCGTTTGATCTACCTCGTAAAGTGCTGCACCAGTCCTTGGAGCTTACCTGCATCTCAGCTCCTGATCTACCCTTTCTCCTATTTTATCACAAAACCATCTTATCAGAAAATGCAACAAATACAATAAGTATCCATTTTCAGAGCCATTGCCTCTTGGTTCAGCGTATAGCGTTTCCACAACAGCCTGCTATTATCCAATCTAGTGATCAATAAACAGCAGCCAGTGATAAATCGTATTGATGGTTGTATCCAGGGAACTGCTGCTGTGATCCAACAGAAAGACAAACATAGAGTACACAAAGGTTTGATTTTCCACAAACTGTTCCTAAACCTCTGAGCTGTGACGGTACAGGATATTTACTGCAAATTCTGTATTAACAGAAAAGTGAACCGGAATAAAACAAGAGCTCTGACAACATTTTTATTTGTTTGTTTAAAAAAATAAATGGTTTCTTTAGATAGGGTCAAGTTTTTATACTTTGGGTCTTGTTGCTAAGACACAAATTTGGGTAAAACACAAACGGATATCCGTTCATACATCTTTTTCCTCCGTAGAGTATTTGGAAGCTGATGGTACATGCAGGGTCACCATCGTGATTTATTTTAGAGGTTGCTCGTCTTCAACAGACCTGATTTTAATCAGTCCATGATTAACGGGTCTCTGTAGAGCTTGATGACAAGCTAAACAGGTATTTACCAGATCTATTACAAATTGCTCCTCATCACCTACAAATGCATACACACACCTTCTCCATCGCCATTCTCCTATCCGGCACCTTCGTTCTGCTGACTCCAACCTCCTTTCTGCTTTCAAATGGCATGCCGCACCACGGAGGACCGAGCCTTTGCTGTCGCTGCCCCCACACTTTGGAACTCTCTCCCACTAAACATCAGGAATGCAGTCTCTCTCACGTCTTTCAAATCGCTGCTTAAAACCCACTTCTTCAAAATGGCCTTCCCCAAATACTAACCCAGCATGCCCCCAGTTTTGTTCATTATTTTACATTTTGTTTCATTGTGTTTATTGTCTTTCTGTGAAGCGTCTTTGAGTGACCTAAAAATATATAAGTAATATGTAAGTTTGATATATTTTTATTAATATTATTGTTTCAGTCAGTGCCTCAGGTGTGTTGGGGCAGGGAAACAACTAAAACATGCCAGGACCTGGACTGGACATCACTGAATTAGATTATCCAGTTAACCTGATGTGCACATTTTTGGTTTATGGGAGGAAGCCAGAAAACCCAGAAAAAGGATCCATACATTCATACAAACATGCAAACTGCACAGAAATACAGCAACTGAGATTTGTACCCGCAACCTACTGAAATGCAACAGTGCAACCAAATGCACCACCATGCACCGACAGAAAAGGCTATTTCTTTGAAATTTTGTTACATCACGTCTTTAATTGTTGAAGTATAAGATTAATTGGTTGCAAGCCAGACACTGAAATGATCTCTTTTCTACACTGAATCAACTGACTCAATGTTGCAGAAAATGAGCAAAACTGCACATAAATAAGTGAGAAAAGGAATTAGCTTTTTCAAGATTAGTTTCTCATTTTCTCCCTCTACAGCTTTTACCCACAGATCCTCCAAAGAAGCCAGACCCCGTCACTTCAGAGACCGTTGTTTTCTGGGGGCTGCGGTTGTGGCAGGTCATCGGCATCTTTTCTGTGTTTGTGCTGGCGATCAGTAAGTAGATCTCACTGAATCACCCAGTTGGTATAGCCCCTCTTTTAATGAAGACGTTATTTAGCTTATGACAAAATACAGAACTAAATGTCTTTGAATGAAAAGAGATTCTCTGGCAAAGTTTGCTGACTGGTACAAAACTGTTATTGTGTGGGAAAAGACTGAGATCGGAGGCTCGTCATGAGTCACTCATGCATAATCACCTTGAGACAGCGAGACATTTGGTTTCCATATTGCTGGAATTAGTAGTATTTTTAATGCAAATTTTTTTGCAAAAAGTTGTTAAAATCACAGTTTACAGTGTTTCATGTAATATAAGATACTTAAAACAACCTAAAAACATTTAGGTATTTTTTTTTGAGGAGAAAAAGAAAAGTCAGTAAATTGTAATTCAAACAAACCAATAGAAAAGCTAAGTATACTTCGAATCAAATCAGAGCTGGTCTAAAGAGCTTAGAGGGACCTTGAAGCACTTTCTGGAGATTATTATTAACTTTTAATTGACCCGACAGACCTGATAAACCCCACACCGTCAGAGTATCAAGGGTTGTGAATGTAAGATTCAAAAGCTTGATCAGGGGGTTGGTATTAGCTCAGAAAAGGTAGAAGAATCAGATAAAGCTCTCCACTCTCAAATCTGTGAAGCGTTTTAGAGGATGAATCGCGCCTCTGATCCAATCACTAAAATATGGAAGAACAGATAAAACAAAAGTGCTTCATGATGAATCATGAAAAGGGCCATGCGTTAACTGATGGAATTTTAAACCTTATCATTAAAATTTAAAGACTGTGACAAAGTAGTGAAAATAGTAATTGAAAAATGTTTTAGGGACGATCCTTTGGTTCAAGAAAAAGAGGTGTTTATCAAAAAGTACACCATTCATTCATGCATCCATCTGTTCATCTATCTGTCTCTGTCTGTCTGTCTGTCTGTCTGTCTGTCTGTGTCTATCATTCATCCATCCATCCATCCATCTATCCATCCATCCATCCATCCAATTCAATTCAATTCAGTTCAATTCAAAAATATTTTATTAATCCCTGTGGGAAATTGATTGCTGTAGCAGCTCATAATAATAACAATAATAATCAAGTCATCAAAGAGTTGTTGTATATTACAATGGCTGTTGGCAGGAAGGATCTCCAGTAGCGGTCAGTGTTGCTGCGAAACTGAAGAAGCCTCTGACTGAAGACACTCATCTGTTGTCAGACAGTCTTGTGAAGAGAATGCTCAGGGTTGTCCATAATTTTTTTGATTCTCTGGAGAATCATTCCTTGCATTATCTCCTCCAGTGGTCCCACAGTTGACCCCAGAACAGAACCAGCCTTTTTTATTAGGCCGTTGAGCCTTTTCAGGTCCCTGCTTCTTGTGCTACTACCCCAACAGACGATGGCTGAAGAGATTACACTCTCAACAACAGACTTGTAGAAGATCTGCAGCATCTTGCTACAGACATCGAAGGACCTAAGAGTCCTCAAGAAGTGCAGTCTGCTGTGCCCCTTCTTGTAAACGGCTTTGCTGTTCTTTCTCCAGTCCAGTCTGTTGTCCAGGTGAACTCCAAGGTATTTGTATTCCTCAACCACCTCCACTTCTTCTCCCATGATGGAAACAGTGTTTGACCCCACCCTGTTCCTTCTGAAGTCTAAAATCATCTCCTTTGTTTTGCTCACGTTCAAGGTCAGATGATTGTTTCCACACCATGCCACAAAGCGCTCCACCAGCTCTCTGTACTCAGCTTTCTGTTCATCTCTGATACACCCGACAACTGCAGAGTCATCTGAGTATTTCTGTAGATGACAGGTCTCAGATTTGTACTGGAAGTCTGAGGTGTACAGGGTGAAAAGGAATGGTGAGAGTGCAGTCCCCTGTGGTGCTCCAATGTTACTGATCGCCTGGTTTGATGTGCAGTTCTTCAGCCTCACAAACTGTGGTCTGTTTGTCAGGTAGTCTTTAATCCAGGCGATAGTTGAGGCCCCCACCTGTGTCTTCTGGAGTTTCTGGCAAAGTACATCAGGCTTTATTGTGTTGAATGCACTGGAGAAATCAAAGAACATGACCCTGACAGTGCTGCCTGCTTTGTACAGATGACAGTGGGCTGGTTGAAGCAGCTGGATGATGGCATCTTCAACTCCAACTCCATGGCGATAAGCAAACTGCAGCGGGTCCTGATATGTCCTAGTTTGCTTATTCAGGTGGACCAACAGGAGTCTCTCCAGGACCTTCATGATGTGGGACGTCAGGGCAACCGGTCTGTAGTCATCATTGACTGATGGGCGAGTTTTCTTTGGAACTGGAACAAGGCAGGATGTCTTCCACAGGACTGGAACCTTCTCCTGGGCCAGGCTGAGGTTGAAGAGGTGCTGCAGAATCCCACAGAGCTGCTCTGCACAGGCCCTCAGTACTCTGGGGCTGACACCATCTGGACCTGCAGCCTTGTTCCTGTTCAGTCTCTCCAGCTGCCTCTTCACCTGACTTCTAGAGACAGATAGGTGGGAGGGGGAGGTAAATGGGGCAGCAGCATCTCCTGACTTGGTTGAAGACAAATTTATCGAATTAGAAGAGTCCATGACTGCGTTAGAGGACAAAAGAGCTGGTGTGTGACAGGAAAATGTTGGATCAGAGGAGGATGGGATGTCTGATTGGCTGGGGACAGGCGAGGAGGATGCTGGGTTTGTTCCTGAACTGAACCTATTGAAGAACTTGTTCAGTTCATTTCCTGTGTCCAGGCTGCCATCTGTGCAATCCTTCCTCTGCTTGAAGCCTGTGATCTTCTTCATCCCTGACCAGACATCTCTGATATTGTTCCTCTGTAGTTTGTTCTCCAGCTTCTTTCTGTATGCCTCCTTGCTGTCTGATCTTGATCTTCAGTTGCTTCTTGTATAGTCCTCAATAATTCCCTGTCTCCCCCCTTGAAGGCCCTTTTTTCTCATTTAGCAGATTATTCAGTTCACTGGTGATCCAGGGTTTGTTATTAGCAAAGCATCTCACTGTTCTGGTGGGTATGATATTGTCCACACAGAAGTGTATATAGTCAGTGACACATCCAGTCATGGCATTGATGTCCTCTTCATATCCTTGGCAGAGAGTCATCCAATCTGTGGTCTCAAAACAACTCTGCAGGGCTTCTTCAGTGTCCTGTGACCATTTTCTCACAGTTCGTCTTGTCACAGGTTGCCTCTGAACAAGTAGTTTGTATTCTGAGTAGAGAAAAACAAGATTGTGATCTGATTGTCCCAGAGGAGGTCTTGTTTTGGACATGTATGCATTCTTTACATTTGCATAACACAAATCCAATGTCTTGTTTTCTCTGGTGGAGCAGCAGACAGACTGTTGAAATGTTAGAAGAGTAGCAGAGAGCGAGGCATGATTAAAATCACCAGATATAGCCACAAATGCATTGGGGTGCTGGGTTTGTAGCTTAGCGACAACAGAACTGATGGCACCACATGCATTTTCAGCAATGGCTGAAGATGGAATATAAATGGTTGCCAAGACAACACTGGTGAGCTCTCTTGGCAAATAATATGGGCAACAACTTACTGCCAAGAGTTTAACATCTGGGCTGCAGAGACAACATTGCACTGACGCATGACCTGGATGGCACCATCTGTTGTTGACAAGCATTGCCACTCCACCTCCTTTTCTTTTCCCGCTCCTCTTCAGATCTCTGTCTGCTCGTACAGTCAGGAATCCTGGCAGAGAGACGCTGGAATCTGGGAAATGGTCCTGCAGCCACGTCTCAGTGAAACACATAACACTGCACTGCCAATACTCTGGCAGATTCCTTGAAAGGGCTTGGAGTTCATCCATCTTGCTGGCCAGTGATTTCACATTGCCCATTATGATCGATGGAAGAGATGGTTTGAATTTCCTCTTTCTCTGTCTTTGTTTTGCTCCCGCTCTGCACCCATGCTTCTTACGTTTTAGCTCATTTGGGATTTGTGGCTTCAGTTGAGGTATTATTTCAGCCTTCCCAATGTTAATCAGCTACTCCCGATTGTAAACCAGCTTGTTGCATGGTTACGCATCATAACAAATGCTCAAAAAGTGAAAAAATAGCAGTAAAAATCCTCCAAGCTTCACAGCACCAGAAACAGAAAAGTAAAATGTCCAAAAAAATACAGTTTTTCTTGAGAAACTAGATGATAAAATGTCCAAGAAATGGCAAAACTATATATATGTTAACTACATGTAAATATAGTCAACAGAGCTACTCCAACATGCAGCCACCCAGAGCAGCGCAGTTCCGGAATTTCATCCATCCATCCATCCATCCATCCATCCATCCATCCATCCACCCATCCACCCATCTATTGTTCATCCATCCATCCATCCATGATCAGGATTGAGGATAATTTAAGCTACCGGCTGGTTTCTTTATGTAACTAAGACACAGTTACCCATCAGTTTCATCAGTTAAATCTGATTTTATTATAAAGCAAACAACTGACTTGAATCTGAGTTTATCTTAACGACTAATTAGGAGGCCACAGTTGATTATCATATGTTGTCGAGATGAGTTTAATCATAACTATTCTTTTTTATTCCTCTTTCTTCCAGTCATCACTCTGTGTTGTATATTCAAATGTCGAATTCCAAGAACTAAAAAAGAAATAGAGGCACGGCATGCACAGCGACAGGCTGCCAAAAAATATGCCAACACACTGGAGACAGTGCCACCGCTGAATGAGCTGACTGAGATACCAGGAGGTGAGTATCTCTCTTTGATGTTTGTTTAAATTTCAGTTACACTAAAGTACATTGGAGGTTCTAACTTTACTAGAAAAATGTCTGCTTGTGTCTTTTTTCTTAATATTCAACTTAGTTGAGGTTTTCAAAACACACACACACACACACACACACACACACACACACATTCATATAAACATATGTGTGTGTATATATATATATATATATATATATATATATATATATATAAATTACAATAAACACTTTAGTAAATGAAAGTTGCCTCATGATATTTTAAGGACATTTTGTCCAAAATCTAACGTTTCTTGCTTTCCCATTTCACAAACTACATTTGGTAAGATTCTTCTTTCTTTACTGCTGTAACTTTTCCTCCTCTCTTTCCTCTTGGTTTCCTTCCTCCAGCTACCTCTGCAGATACCTCTGCAGTTCAGACGGTATCTGAGCAGGTCCAAACCCAAAGCACTAACAGCCTTCCGTCAGTTAGGGTCAGCGAGGAACCGTCCAGCTCCATCACTCTACCAGAGACGGGATGACGCTCTCTTTCTTCTTCTGTTCTACCATTATCTTCCACCCGACACTCTTCGTCAGCTAAATTGCTTTGTAAAACACAGCATATGCACTTGCTGCCACTCTGAAATCACTCTTTCAGTCATTTATCACTTTGGTTCTGTTCTGAAACAGATCCAGTCCCTTTGTCCTTCTTGAAATACACCAGGGATGCAAATGGAGAGAGTTCCACGAACATCAATCTTTAAATTGTAGCTGAAAAAGACCCAATTTAAAAACATTTCCAATGCTGCTTGTTAGTAATGTGGTTTTGGCGTTTGTCTTAGAAAATCAAACTTTTTACTGGAGCTGTTGACTGCATTTGTGCTGCATTTACAAATATATATTATTTTTAGAAGCTTAACTTTATAGTTTTTGCATTTTGAAAGGCTTTATTCTCTTCTTGTTAATTTAAATTTGCATGATAAGTTTAGTAGATACTTTATCAGAAGATTGTGAGACATACAAGAATCTATGCAAACTATCTTGCATGCAACAAATGCTAAATGTGGGAAATACTGTCTTTCTACTGCCTGCATTCTTAACCCTGAGTTCATCTTTGAATAAAGCAATTTCCTGCTGACACCACAGATTTACATCATTTCAAATGTTCTTTTTCTTCTGTCTTTTCTCTAAGAAGTATTGACTGCACAGTTGCTTCTGTTTTAGCTTAAAATTGTCTCAGGTGTGAACTGGGAACTGTCTTTAGTTGCTCATATTTCCATATGCAATCATTAATTACAGTGAAAAATATTAGGGATGATACTGAACTGTTGATAGGATAATTTTGCATAAAATTTGCATTCAACAACGAGGACGAAAACAATAAAATCAAGCCACTGTTGCGAGACGATCCAGATTACTTAAATCTCTAGTGTTAGTCTGATGTGCAATGGAGGGAAAGCGCATCTGTTTGACTATAAAACTAATTACCCACATGGCGGGGAAATGAGCAGAAGGGGGGTATGATGTCTGAAGACAAGAAAAGGTGAGAATTATTTTTATCAGGTGATGTTTGTGTCAAGAACCTCAGACATAATGAGTTCTGCTGGGTTTTGTTGGATTATTTGAGCAGAACCCGATGAAGAGAAGAAAATGTGCAATTTTACATCGTGCTCTCACTTATAGTGGATGATGCACCTAAAAATTAATGAGCAAGAAAAAAAGTAGTTCTTCCAACACATTGATTAGTGGTGCATACTTTAATGTGATATTCAGGCTGATTATTAAGGAAAAAAGAGAACCTGTAAAACTTTTAAATGCACTAAATGGTTTAGCCTTAATGAGGAGGGTTACCTGCAGCACTAACAAGTTCATCTAGATGAATTAAAGAGGTTTTTGAAATACAAGCATTTGGACAGTTTCCTTTAAAACAAACAACAAAAAAATGTTTTACTGCTGATTTTTTCTAGTCTAAGTCAGAAAACTCGATGGACTTCAGCCAAAGTTAGCTCCAAACACACCCACATCACCCCGCTTCTCCTCCAGCTTCCCTGGCTGCCAGTCAACTTCAGGGTTCATTTCAAGATCCTGGCTCTGGTCTAGGGCCTTACATGGACAAGCACCATCTTACATTGGTGATCTTCTTAGTCCCTACACCCCCAGCAGGTCCCTGAGGTCCAGTGATCAAAGTCTACTGGTTGTGCAGCACCAGGCTAAAGACCAAAGGTGACAGATCATTTGCTGCTGTGGCCCCCAGACTCTGGAACTCTCTCCCCCTGAGCCTGAGATCAGTGGACTCAGTGGTCTCCTTTAAAAAGCAGCTGAAGACTCACTTGTTCAAGCTGGCTTTTGTATGACCTTCTTCACCACTCTCTCTTTATTCTGCTCTCTCCACCTATTCCACCTTCCTCAGGATCCACTGATTTCCCTCTTTCCTATTCACTCTCTCTTTTTCTTAACATTGTTTTTAGTCACAATTGTCTATTTTTGCTCATTTTAATAGATTTTTAAACATTTTCTAAATGCTTTTTTATATTTTTAAAATTTTTGTTTTGTGAAGTGCCTTGTGATTTTTATCTTGAGAGGTGTTATAGAAATGATATTTTCTTCTTCAAACTTGTAAATTATTCTGAAAGAATTTATAGAAGTAGGATACTGATAAAAGTTAGTAATCGTTACAGACTGTGTTCTTTTGGACAAAAGGGTATCTCATTAAGATGCAGGTCAACCTCCTAGTCCCCATATGTCTTATAGATTCAGACACCAAAGTTAACAAAAATATATATTTTTAATTATAACGGAGTTCAATCTCTAAGCTTTTCAACTATCCAACAGATTCTGTAGAAGGATTATAAATGTAGCGTGGTGGCCAGTCCGATACATAAATAATTTACATTTCACATAAATCTTAACAACTAGGTCAACTTAAAAAATTATAGCCTTCAAACTAAGGCAGTTAGTTTTGATCTGATTAGTTTAAGTGGGTGTACTAAGATCTTTAGCTCAGTTCCACAAACATAAACCTCATGGAAATAGCTTTTCAAAGAAACGCCATTTTTCCAATCTCTATTTTACACAAGCTCCAACCTGATGTAGCGATGAAGCAGCTCTAAACATTTTCTGCTCCACCTTTAAAGACCGAATGATGAATCAAATCACCAACTTTGCCTAAAAAGACAGTAAGACGTGACAAGGAAGATGTGGAATACTTTTACTGTTTTATCAAAATTATAAAACTAGACTGAGTTGATTTTTTATGTTAGAAATTTAGTTTCTTGGCACTTTTATTTTATTTTGTTTTGTTTTTGAGAAACAAAAGTTTATTACTGGCAAAAGAAAAGTAAAGCATGCAATAACTCAAACTGAATAAGCAGGTTTTGGAGTTTTAAAACTTTAAACATTACAGTGTAATTCTTCCTGCTGTTGTGAAAATGTAGATTATTACACAAAAAGTCACAAGACTTGAAAGAAATGGGAATTTGACCGAACCCTAACCCCAAAACCTGAAGCACATATAGAAAAGTGTCTATTTTATTTTGCATTAACGATAGATTTGGATCTCCATTGTCTTTTTGTTGTTTTTCCATAGTTTTTGCTCATTTTCCTTATATGGTATGTTTTCATGTCATCCACAAGAGACACATGCCTTTAGCGGAATCACATTAAAAATACATTAACATTTTTTTCTGTCTTTGGTCTTAAAATAGCTTTAAAATGTCTTCACTATAATAAGATCACCTTCTTTTTTTTAAATGTTTGAAGGAGAAGAAGAAGAAGAAAGTATAATTTCTATAGCGCCTCTCAAGATAAAAATCATGAGGCGCTTGTTTGCTTGTTTTCTTACAGCTGCAAAAGCAGAGGAAAAAGAAGAGGTATCAACAGTGTCTGGAAAAGTGGATAGTGAAAAAGGAGAAAAGAAGAGCAAGAAAGAGAGCAAGAGTGCCAAAGAAGGGAAAGGAAATGAAAAGGAAGAGCCGGCAAAGAAAAAGGGGGAGAAAGGTGAAACGGGAGCATCCAAGAAGGAAGGAGGAGATGAAAAAGCAAAGAAGGGTGACACAGGAGGCAAAGGAGGGGGTAAAGGCGGAGGCAGGAAGTCTCAAAAGTGAACTAAAATTACATTTTACACAAGAAACATTCCAGACACTTTGTCTTTTTTTTTCTAAAATAGAATTTGTACAATTATTTATTTAAAATTAAAACTTCTATATAAATATGAAAATTCTGTTTTTTGTCTTTAATTTGGATTCAGAGACTGAAAGTCATGAATTAAAGATTTATTGTCTTATTTATGAATTACTGATGAACATAAGTCTTCTAAAACATCATTACACCAGAAATAAATGATGAGGAGGTGAGGTGTGCATCAGCACACACTGCTGGCATGCTGAAGTCTTTATAGCGATTTACAATTATCAGCTCAGCTGATTCTTGAGAGAGAAAAAAAACACATATTATGCGTCCATAAGCTCTGTGATCATTTATTACTTTCAAAACAAATGACACGATTTTCCACTCAGAGCAGAATACTCAATTAAAGAGAAATAGTGTTCAAATACTATTTTCTAATGACTGATTCTCGTCTCTGATGCTGACTGATCTCTCTGTAGTCGTCATACGGGTTTCTCTATTTGGCTGAGGAATACAATAAATGTCAGCTAAATATTCTGGATTATATATCCATAAAAGCATAATTTAAATGGCATTTAATACAAAACCTTTTAAGTAATTGTTATGTTGTGTTATGATTATTTTCCCAAAAATTGCAAAACTCAAAAAAGGAATAAAGCGGAAGATATTTTAAATAAAATACAAGTTTAATGTGATGAAAACACAAACTTGTAAATAGGTTGAACTGAAGTAAAAAATGTAAAAACAGAAATAAGATTTCTTCCTGCTTTCCTTATTCACTGAATCATTTTTTATGGGGTTTTGTTCATGAAAGTAAAGATTTGCTTCACTGGGGAATAACTGCAGGTAAGACGATACTTTGCTGTGTTTTTGATGACAATATTAAAAAAGGGTTAGAGGTTTCTCCTTTTTCTCTGCAGCTGGATCAGCTGACCCACAGATCTGACGGCTGGGCAATAGAGCTCCGGGAGTTGACGTCACTTCTCCCGGCATGCAACAGTTCAAATCGAACGGCGCCATTTTGGCAGGCAGTAGCCCACAGCTAGACTATTTGTTATTGAATGAATGATCAATTTATGAATGATCAATTTATTCAGTCATCTTAAGATAATGTGTACAATAACATGTCATACAAATAGATACAAATACCATTTCTCACTAACATATGCATTCATTTGTATATGGTGTCTATTTGGTATCTCATGACTGAATAGGTTTAGGCAGAAGCAATAGCTTATATAATTGCCTAACCTACTTACAAAACAAATTTTCAATTTCCCGCAATGAACCAACAACCCAAATAAAAATAAAACACAAATCCATCCATCAACATCAAATTAATACTCTTCAAAAATATTTTTACTGATAAGTTTTTTAAGAACTGAAAGAGAAGTTGCTAATTTGAATTCTATTTTAGCCTCATTCCAAAATTTTACTCCCATTACAGAGATACATCTCCTTTTCATGCCCTTTTTGGCTTTTTGTAGAACAAACATACATACACCTCTTAAATCATATTTACTTTCCCTCTTTGCAAAAAACATTAGTATATTTTCTGATAGAGCCGTTAATTTTACTCTAAACATAAATTGCATTATTTTATAATAGTATAGATCTTCTAATTTCATAATCGGTGATTTTGAAAACAACGGGTCAGTATGTGTCACACCCTGTCCTGTCTCCCCATTTGGTTCAGCCTGTGTCTCTGATGATTGCTCCCACCTGCCTCTCGTTTCCCAATCACCCAAGCTCCCAGCCCTCCTGTATTTAAACCCCTCCAGTCCTGTGTCTCTTGTTGCCTCATTGTTTCCATGTCCTGTGTCCAGTGATCATTAAAAACCTTTTACGTTTTCTAGTTTGTCTGCCTGCCTGATCCCTCCCCAGCGTTTGGATTCCATAGCTGCTTGTGACAAGAGCTCACACAGTGTAGATAAATGTGAAGCCCCTCTCTCGAGTTTTAAACCATTTTGGTCTACGGGAGTGGTGTCTCTGATTGGCGATGATGTTAACAAGGAAGTGGTGATTTTAAGAGACACCGGAGCTTCTCAAACCCTGATAAAATGGAATGTGTTACAATTTTCTGTCGCCAGCCAGGCTGGTTATTCGGTGTTGTTGCGGGGAATTGAAATGGGTTCAGCTCCGGCGGAGGTGCATCGTATTCGCCTCACTTGTCCCTTGATTTCTGGTGACCTAAAAGTAGACCTGATTTTAGGAAATGACGCTGCTGGTGGATTGGTTTTACCTCCTCCTGAGCTTATATCCCCGCCTGAAATCTGTGTTAACTCAGACTTACTGCCTGCCTGTGTCTTAACCCGTGCTCAGCTTAAGAAAGACTCAGAGATCTCACTTGGTGATTCGGTGTTGTTCTCGCCGTCAGCTGATGACGTCACCCAACCAGGTTCGGCTGTAAAAATGCCTTATCTGGCCTACAAAGGACCTCTAACGGATTATCCCATCTCCTGTAAGACCTTGGCTGAAGCACAAAAAGCTGATGAATCTCTGAAACCCTATTTTGCGCTAGTTGGTGTGGCTCCGACGTCCCCTGAAGGTCAGATTTCGTATGTGGTTGAGGGTGATATTTTGTGTCGCCTCTGGACTCCGGTCTCCAAAAAAGGTTCCGATTGGGCCCAAGTTAGCCAAATTGTGGTGCCTGAAATTTTTAGAAATGATATTTTCTCGTTGGCTCATGAGTGTGACTGGGCGGGACATTTAGGTATGAATAAAACCTATCTGGTCATACTGCGCCACTTCTTCTGGCCGGGTCTGAAACGACACGTGTCGGACTTTTGCCGTAGCTGTGCTACTTGTCACGTCGTAGGAAAGCCAAACCAAACTATTCGACCGGTTCCGTTACACCCGACCCCTGTGGTTTCAACTCCCTTTGACCATATTGTCATAGACTGTGTGGGGCCTCTTCCTCCCTCTAAGTCAGGCCGTAAATATTTATTAACCATCATGCGTTCGGCCACTCGTTTTCCAGAAGCTGTTCCTTTGTCCTCCATCACTACTAAAAACGTGATAAGAGCTCTAACAGGATTCTTCTCTGTTTTCGGGTTACCCACTGTCATACAATCGGACCAAGGGACTAACTTCACCTCTCGGGTCTTTGCTCAAGTTACAAAAACTTTGAACGTAAAGCACGTCACTTCATCTAGTTATCATCCCGAAAGTCAGGGTGTCCTCGAGAGGTGGCATCAGACGCTAAAGACCATGCTCAGAAAACATTGCTCCTCCTCCGGTCATTTGTGGGAAGAAGGTCTTCCGTTTGTGTTGTTTGCTGCTAGGGATGCGGTGCAGGAGTCCACCGGTTTTAGCCCAAATCAGCTGGTGTTCGGTCATGCCCCTAGGGGCCCCTTGAAGACTCTGAAAGAACAATTTCTTTGGAGAGTTCCACCTGTTACTACTAGTCTTCTGTCCTATGTGAGCTCCTTCCAGAAAAGACTCCAGGCAGCTAATCAGTTAGCACGACAACACCTCAGAACTGCTAAGGCCTCCATGAAGAGGCGTTTTGACAGAAAGTCTAGCTCCCGTGTTCTACAAGGAGAGGATCAAGTACTGATCCTAAGTCCTACTGTTGGTTCCTCGCTTTCTCCTAAGTTTCAGGGTCCCTTCGAAGTGTTGTCCAAACTGGATGAACGTAATTATGTCATAAAAACCCCGCTGATGCGTAGAAAGACCAAAGTGTGCCACATCAACAGGCTTAAGTTATTTCGTAGTAGAGGCGCGAACCCATCTATGTCTGGTGTTGTAGCCACTGCTGTTTCGCAGCCACCCGATCTAGAAATGTCCTCTCCTCCTCTTGCCATGGGTCCTCCTGTTACTCCTTGTCTGAGCAATTCGAAAACCCTTAAGAATCTTTCGCGCTGCTTAGAACATCTCTCTCCAGCACAACAGGTAGAAGCACAAGAATTAATCCACTCATTTCCTGAGTTATTTTCAGATATTCCTTCCCAGACTCATCTCATCACCCACGACATCACCCTTTCTGACCCTACGCCTGTACGGATGCACCCCTACCGCGCCAGTCCTTATAAGCGTGAGTTGATGAAGCAGGAGGTAAATTACTTACTCATGAACGGCCTAGCAAAACCAAGCACCAGCTCATGGAGTTCATCCTGCTTGTTGGAGAATAAACCTGATGGCACTTTTAGATTTGTCACAGATTACCGTAAGATAAACGCCACCACTGTTCCTGACTCGTTCCCGTTACCTAGGATTGACGACTGTGTGGGTACGTGCAGCGCTCCTTTTCGGCCACAGGATGGACTCAGCGGCCTTCTGCTTCGTCTGTCTTCCGGTGAACAGGTGTGGGCAATCGCTCCTAATCATGGCTCAGCTGTTAAAAGCTGCCCTCTTGGTCTCATTCAGGGTCTCATTCAGGGAGAAGGTCCAAGGGTAGTGTAAATTCGCAAGAGTCTGCACTATTCTCTTCTCCTCGTTCGCTTTTGGTTTGCTCATTAGACTTCGGTATTTGACTCGGTTTTGGAATTTGGACTTAGATTAGACACTTTGGTAATTTGACTTCAGACCGGCTTTAGACTCTGACCTCGGATCTCCCCTTGTGTGTAAATAGAACATTCTCAGTTGTTTTCATCCCATCCCCTTCTGGGTTGGCGTTTTTGGTTTCTCCTTTTTCAATATTGCTCCTTTGGTTTTGTATATACCGTAAATCCTCTAATACAGGCCCGGGCCTGTATTTGACTCAAGCCCATCAAGCTCCAGGCCTTTATTGGAAGGAGGGCCAGTATTAGAGGCAGGCCTCTATTTCTATTTGAGCAAAATGAACTAATGGTTCGCTGGAGTTTTTGACAATTAAAATTGCGCCCACATTTTCAAAGTTAAACACATTTCTTTTAACAACGGTAGTTTCTGCTTCAGCCATCTCCCCCCTCCCCCTGCTTCAGCCATCTCCCCCCTCCCCCTGCGCAGCAGCCGCAAACTCACTGATGAGCCTGCAGCCTCTCGGAGTTCCTGCTGCTCTAAACATTAAAATAATTATTTCATTTTCTGTTCCTCACTTCTGATGACCTTCAATGGTGTCTGTTTGTTGCAACAGCAGGTACAAAAACTAACTTGTTTTTATTTGACTATTTTTCTGTCCTGTCTGTTTATTATCTTCCTGCATCTCCTCTCAATCCTAAAGAGAAACTGCTACCTGGGTTCATATATATTCACCTCATGAGTTACCTTTGAACTGCAGTTCTAAAAGATCTACCGACCGCAAAAACAGCGGAGCGCTCGCTGTTTGGCGGCCGTATCAGTGATCAGTGCGTCGGAGGACAAGGTGATGCGCGCAGCGCCCCGCTCCACAGCATGCAGGGAAACGCATCAGGCGCAAATAAAAGACAGAAAACATTATGTATATATATATATATATATATATATATATATATATATATATATACATACATATATATACATACATATATATATACATATATATATATACATATATATATATATATATATACATATATATATATATGTATATATATATATATATATATATATATATATATATATATATATATATATATATATGTATATATATATGTATATATATATATATATATGTATGTATATATATGTATGTATATATATATATATATATATATATATATATATATATATATATATATATATATATATATATATATATATATATATATATATATATATATAGTTTTGTTTTCATTCTGCAAAACTTTGTGCAGTTCAGTTTCAATATTTCCTTTTAGTTGCTGCCTGTTTAAGACAGTCATTTATTATTAAGTAAGCAAGTTATAGATGAAAATCTCACTGTAAAAAAAGCTCTTTGGATACAAAAGAGTTGCATGCATTTCCTGCTTTTGCACTTTGGGGCAAAGAAAGTAAAAAAAAATCTAACTTTATTCTTCTTTGATGTTTGATGCAACTATTTGTGTGAAGGACACTATAGTAAAGCATGCACTGAAATAAACAAAAAAAGGGAGGAAGTTTCAATTAAAGCTGAAAGCAGTGTCGTTCAGTCCTCACAGCTCCGCGCCACTTCAGCCTGGCCAACAGTCTGGTGCACCCGGGCACATCCGCTGAACATAAACATCGACCACCCCGACACCAGAAACTAGGGGATACTCTATCTTTACCACACTGGTGGTGTGATGACACAAACCAAGTTTAATGCTATTCTGACCACGTTTTTTGAAGTCATTGAAGGTTAAAGTTATCTAGGTGGCGCTGTGACCAATTACAGAAAAATCCCATTGAGGGAAGCTTTGGTTGGCAAAGATGGTTTTCTGTAATTTTGGCATCAATCAGACGTTGTGTGTGTTATCTAGAGCCAGAGAGCCGAAAGGGGGTGGAGCTACATGGGTTTGAACCACCAACCACATCAATTTGTTTGGTGCAGTCACGTGATGACACAAGCCAAGTTTGATGCCATTGTGACCTTGTATTAGAAAGTAATTCACTCTTAATCTTATCTGGGGGCTCTGTGACCAATTACATAAAAATCCCATTAAGGACCTCTTAGGGAGTCAAAGATGGTTTTGTGGTAGTTTGGCATCAGTCAGACAGTGCGTGTGCTTTCTAGAGCCAAAGAGCTGAAAGGGGGCAGAGCTAAAGGGGTTTGAACCAACAACCACATCAATGTGTTTGGTGCAGTCACGTGATGACACAAGCCAAGTATAATGCCATTCTGACCTTATCTTTAGAAGTTGATAAAGTTTGAACCTATCTAGGGGGCGCTGTGACCATTTACAACTAAATCCCATAGAGGTCATCTTTGGTAATCAATGATGGTTTTCTGTTAATTTGGCATCAGTCAAACGTTGCATGGGTCATCTAGAGACAAAAAGCTGTAAGTGAGCGGAGTTAAAGTTATTTGAACGAGTGAGCACATACATTTGTTGATTGCAGTTGTGTGATGACTCCCACCATGTTTGATATATTTTGGAGCTTTTTTGCAGAAGTTACAAAGGTTTTATTGTATCTAGGGGGCACTGTCCCAAATTTAGGAAATACTCCATGAAGAAGTTTGTAGTTTGACAACAATCATTTGTGTGCAGTTTGGTGTGAATTGCATAATGCATGTGTTATTCAGGGCCTAATTATGGCGTTTAAAGCGTGCCACAACCCGTGCACGCGCATTGGGTCCACAGCGCGCGTGTGAACGGGACTCGCGAGCGGAAATATACATGGCGAGAGGTCATTTGTGCACTGAGAGGGAGCAAACTGTGTCTGTGAGCGCACAAGGATGTGCACAAGTGACAAACCTGCGTGCGCGCGTTGTCAACGAGCACACGGCAGAGGAAAACGTGCGCGCGCGGCAGCCTCTGTGCGCGCTCGGCAGCCTCTCTGCGCGCTCGGTTTCTGACTCCTGCTCGCTCGGCTGTAAGGGTTTTGGCACTCTGGAGGCGTGGCCTGTGGCAGATCTTCTCTGTCGTCTGATTGGTTAGTGTACCCCGCACTTTACCCTCTACCTATCTATATAAAAAAGTCTGCTAGTCAAGTAGTTGCTGGCATAGCTCAGTTGGAAGAGCAGGTGACTCTCGCCCCGGAGGATCCAGGTTCGAGGCCGGGCAAGGAAAATGCAGTAGATGTCATGTTAATTTTTCTTAATTTCAGGTATTTTACAGTTGTGACCGTTCAACTGTCATTAAATGTCCGAATGTTTGCTGGGCAGTGTTTTAAAAAGTGCACATAAGCTAGATGGTTTTAACCATATAAAATTACATTTTTTGTGATACTGGAAAAATACATACTGAAATAAAACTACTGATTGAAAACTTTATGACTGTGGTTGTACAATATATGACTCACTATGGCGCACGTTTTCCTCTGCCGTGTGCTCGTTGACAACGCGCGCACGCAGGTTTGTCACTTGTGCACATCCTTGTGCGCTCACAGACACAGTTTGCTCCCTCTCAGTGCACAAATGACCTCTCGCCATGTATATTTCCGCTCGCGAGTCCCGTTCACACGCGCGCTGCCATGTATATTTTCGCTCGCGAGTCCCGTTCACACGCGCGCTGTGGACCCAATGCGCGTGCACGGGTTTTGACAGGGGTATGACGCGATACCTAATATCTGTCAGGGGTGGAGCTAAAGCAATATCAACCAATGACCACAGGGTTAGGGTTAGGGTAGGGTAAGGTAATATAATGGCGAACGGTCAAAGTTTGAGGCTTAGTCATGCCCACACCTTTCAACTTTTGAAAAATTGGACGGCTGAATTTCCCCCCCTATGTCTTAAGAGTATATAGCAGACGTTTGAAGGCGATTAGTGAAAAGGGCGATGGGGCATCACTCTCCAAACTACATGTGCGAAAACCACTAAATGGAGTACTTGGACCAAAATGGCCGACCTCCTGTGCGACTTTGCACTTGGCTCCAGGAGACTTTTTTGTAGGTCCTGAGACACCACATTAGTGTACCAAATTTCGTAATCCTCAGTCAAAGCATGGCTTGGGGTTGACAGTTTTAATGGTCCTACGGGGAGCTATTTTTGAAAATAGGTCACACCCACCAACCTATCACATTCATTTCTATTGGGGATCAGACTAGGATCACTCACCAGAGATTTTGTGGCGATATCATGATAACTGAGGAAATGAGAGGCAAACATATTTACATGGCGTGATGGTGAATTTTGCCATGCTCCCAAAGCCCCGCCTTTTTTTGAAACCTGCCAATACTGGACACCAAGTTACCTCAACTTGTCTACAGCTATTTGCTAGAGATTGCTGGTCATTGGGTGAAAGGAGTCCAACAGGGAGTTATGAAAGAGTGGCGTGGCGACAGGTCAAAGTTTGAGGGTTAGCCACGCCCACACCTTTCAACTTTTGAAATATACAACATTTGATTCCCCCCCCCCCCCCCCCCCTATAGCTTAAGAGTATGTAGCAGAAGTTTGAAGGTGATCGGTGAAAAGGGCAACGGGGCATCATTCTCCTAACAACGTGTGCAAAAGCCACAAAATCGAGTACTTGCCAAAATGGCCGACCTCCAGTGCGACTTTGCGCTTGGCTCCAAGAGACATTTTTGTAGGTCCTGAGACACTACATTAGTGTACCAAATTTCGTATTCCTCAGTCAAAGTATGGCTTGGGGCTGACAATTTTAATGGTCCTAGGGGGCACCATTTAAGAAAATAGGCCACGCCCACTGGATTTTCACATTAGATTCTTTGGGGGGCCAGACTAGGATCACTCACCAGAAGTTTCGTGGCGATATCTTTAGAAATGACAAAATGGGAGGCAAACGTATGGCCATGGCGGTACACCTGACTTCGCCGGGCTGCCACAGCCCCATCCTCTTTTGACAACTCTCATAAAGTGACGGCAAGAAACACCCACTTGTCTTGAGGTACCAGCTACAAATTTGTGTTGATTAAGTGAAATGGGGCAATTTGGGACCTATCACAGTAAACCTTTTTGGTCCTGAGGGGGCGGGCTTGTGTGATGTCATCATCCGACCATTCAGATTAGTTTGTGGCTGGATGTCGAATGACCACAGAATTTTTTTTAACTGTACTCTATTCGAATATGAAGTTATAGCCATTTATATTTTTTGGCAAGTAGTTGAACTTCGAGGCCTGGCCACGCCCCCTCAGCATATAAAAAAGTCAGTTTTATTTTTTCTATTTGATCGCCCATCCCTTCTGAGCAATTTCCCACAACTTTCGAGACGATCGTGCAAAAAATGATTGAGTAAATCAATCAGAAGCGGACCCTAGAAATGGCCAAAACGGGGTCAAAATAACCACTTCAAACCAAAATGGCCGACTTCTTGTTTGATGTTGGTCATGGTTGCAAGAGGCTTTTTTGTGCAGACTGTTGAGTACTACAAGTGTACAAAATTTCATAACTGTATGACAATCTTAGGTTTACTGAGGGGGGTATTTTTCACATTCTAGGGGGTGCTGTGGAGCTAGTTTTATTACGAGTTTTTTGGGACCTTTAAAATACAAAATTTTACACCGCAACTGACATGTGTGCAAACATTCCTGAGTTTTCGGTTATGTTAAGGCCTCCAAAAAGCCTATTTACTTGGCAGAAGAAAAATAAACAGAGCAGATGCAATAGGCCCAGTGCTTTCGCTGCTCAGGCCTAATTAAACATTTGGATAATAGTGTTAATACTGCACTGAATGAGGATAAAAAAATCAAACAACTAAAGCATGTAAACACTGGTAGGCAGATATTAATTAACATAGTAAAGGAAAGAACTTGCAGAACATGATATTTGAGATAAAGTTTGAGTTGGTGTATTAAATATCGAGACTAATTTTTTCCAGTCTCAAAGGTAAATCATATTTGTAACCTAATACATGTATTTTGGATGTTTTGGTGAGTAACCACACGAGTCTTCTCATTCATCTGTAAATTTATTCACAAGTTTTGCTTGGATTATATACATAATAGAATATGTCCAACGGGCATAGCAAAGCAAAAATACAACATCTTTATAATATATTCATACACATTTACAGTTAGCTCACAATAAAACGTATTTCTGTAAACATTGTGACTTGAATACAAAAAATAATAAAATAAAATGAAACAAACAAAAGCAGCACGATTGTACCTTAAAAGAAAAACCTGAAAAAAATCTGTTTTTCCTTCATGTCCACCACAAATATCCTTCTAGGGAAATGAGATCTCCCATTGATTTGAATTTTACTGGACTATAAATCTGTGTGCTCCACATTTTCACCCTGAATCATATTGAAACTAAAAAAAAAAAAAAACAACCTTGTTCTAATTTTCTTAATGTCCAGTTTTGTTTTAAGCAACACTGAAAAGCCTTAATAAAAAATTTCCGTTTGTCATGCTTACTTTGCGCTCCTGTATGTGTGTCATACTTATGTAATTTTTACAATAATACATTCATTTCAACCCTTCAAAAGCCATCTTAAATAGGAGGAATCTGTTGAAAACAGCAGAAATTGTACAAATAGCATGCTATATTGTTACCTCATATAACCCACCAGCGTCCTTGGGTGGTGCAACAACAGAGGACTTCAATGACCTGAGTAACTTACCTTTAACATTGACATGATTCAACGCAGGTGAAACGCGACATTTGGAGATGGAAGCATTTATGATCTAAATCTTGTAGATGAAATATCCTGTGTTTGTTTCAAGTTTGCCCGACTTCATCATGACTAATGCTGATTTTGGCAACTCCATTCCCCCGCCAACTTCCTGTTTATATACAAAGGAAAACAAATACTTGACACGGAGACTCTTGGCTGTGGAGACAAAGTAAGAACGTTTGCTTTAGCTTTTTAGACATTCTCCCTTACAGGTGGTTGATGAAAGCGTATCTGCCACAGCGATTCGATCTCATCATCCTTCAGGTAAGCTTGCAGAGTGATGCACCCTTTTGAGCCTCATCAGTTGTCAATGTTCTGGCTCGATTCACAGGAGAGATAAAGAACTGGCAGTGTTGATGCATGCAGTCATCTCCTTCACATTGTCCTGAGTGTCCCACCTTTTGTTACTGTACACCAATTCCTTGAGGTCACATGACCGTCTCGCGCTCCTCCTCCACTACAGACGGAGGTTTTTCTTCCTCACTGGGCCTTGTGTGATTAGTTTGCTCTTCCTCGGGAATGTGGAGTTCCTGTCCTGAGGAAGGTATGGAGTTCTCTGAGACGGAGCCGTTCTTTACATAACCAGGGAGGTTCCTGTGGCCGTTCACAGGCACCGGTCCCAGCCTCGTGGTGAGGTGCAGGGCCAGCGGTCCTCTGGCTGTGACGTTAGTAACACTCGTGTGTGAAACCATAGGTCCATAGCTGTATGTGTTACTGCCGCTTCGGGCTTTCCGTTTGAAGTCCAGGGCCAGCGTCCTTCTGCTCCAGGACTTTTTGATCTCAGCTTTCACCTCAAGGGAGAAAAAGGCTATTTAGTATGAATGAAACGCCTAACTTTAAAACACATAAAAAAGAGAGTTCTCACCTCTCCGTTACAAAAACAGTAGATAATGGCAACCAAGAAACCCTGAAAAAGAGCACAAAGTGATATTACTAACATTATCTCTAACCCAGCTCCAATAAGGACACGCTTAACATGACATTTCAGTTGTAAAATTTGACATTAGCTCTGATATTTTAATTCATCTACCCCTGCCGTTTGCTTTATCCTCATCAGGATCTCAACAGAAATCAAAAGCTAAATAACATAAAACTACTTGGCATTTGGCAACTGTTTTTATGGCTAACCCCAAGGATTAAACGCACCAAGTTAATCAGATTTCTCAGACATCAAAAACATGAAGGGCTTTCAGTAACAGATTCTTATGCTCAGGTTTTCTACCACTGTAACTTCACCTGGAAGGAGTTGAAAAGCATCTCGTAGTGCATCTGTATCAGCCACAGGATGCCAGACACCTCTGTGTATGGCATGGCAATAAATATGATGTAATGGACCCCAAAGAGTGGCATCAGGACCAACGTGGACTTTAGTAGTTTTCTGTAACAGGACAATGGACAAGCTGAAACAAATTCTCTGAAGAGCTAAATGGTTTTGGATGACACCTTCATCAAAATGTGTTAAGAAAATTAGTCAATTTTACAGTTTTGAGGTTAGATTTTAAAATAACCAGGCTTTCCACCAGCCAGTATGTGCTAAAATGACCCATTACAGGGTTAATGAAATGTCACTCGAACCCCACTGCCCTTGGTGGCCAAAATGCCATAATTGCAACTTCAGAGTTGCCGATCTTGTCCCTGCTGGAGCTGTGGAGTGGAACGGAGCTGATATGGTGGAGCTGGAGTCTGCTTCCAGCATGTTTCCTGCACGATTCCTGCATGTTCTAGATCATGACAACAGCTGATTTGTTTATTTTAGTGATGGATCACTTCTCTAGACACTAATGAAGGCTGAGGAGACATTTCAGCTTTAGATTAAAGTGTTGAAAAGATAAACACACAGCAAGGAGATAAGTTTCATTTTTACTTTGACCAAAGATAATTAATAACAGACACTAGAGGGTGCTGAAAGCAAGCAAAGCTGCCTAGTATCCCTTAGTGTTTTCCCAGCAAGCTCCCCTCCCACTGGGAGACTTTCAGATGCAATATGGAAGCATTTTGGAAGCGTGGCATGTAAAAATAGGCAAAATGTGTGAATTAGCAAAGCAACCTTCCCTTATATTTCTGGGATGCGTCCAAATCGCTTTGGACAGAGACACGGTCATTCTGCGACATTTATGTGCCTGGTGGAAAGGCCTGGTAAGAAATATACTCAAAGCGTAAATTTAGCAGATCAAAGCACCACTATGCTTGTGGGGCGTGTCCGAGACATGCCACTTAGTGGATGGTGAAAACAAACCGATTCACTATTAGCAGTAATTTGCTGCGTATTACGATTTGTGGAGCTTATGTCATGCTTATTTATGCATTCGGTGAAAAGACGGGTTTTGTAAGTACATTTTATTTGGCCCAATACACTGGTATGATAATACATACCTGTACTGTTGCATGGTGTCGCATCGTCCAGCATTTGTTTCTCGTAGTTTAGTTGCCAAAACTCTGATGATGTTCAGAAATAATAAAAAATTTATCTAAAGGAAAAAATAACACAGAGACACAATTACATTATCATCTTAAACACTGATTATCCTGAACGTGAAGGGGTAAAGTTCCAGTTCCAACTGAGTTTCTACTCACCACCACGGCTACCAAGATAGGCACTTGGTATATCCATTTCAGATTTCCTGCACTCAGGTTCCAACACCTGCAGAAACAAACAGGAAAAGGGAGGAAAAGAGAAAAGATGACTCTATTGATTAATCTCTTTGGTCATGTTTTATGAATACTACTGCCTTAGTGGGGACATGGGGTTTAGTTCCTGTCAACAGGTGGTGGATGCAGGCCCGGCTTTTGGCTCCGAGGTCTCACCTCCACAGAGCAAACCAATTTTACGCAAGGCAAATAGTGATTATCAGAGAGGGATTGAGGTAGCTTAAAGTTAGTTTGGGCCAATTTCCTCCTTGATGAGTGAAACTGCTGCCCTTGCCTTGGCCAAATGACGGCTGAAGATAGGTACCAACTGTCCGAGTCCCTACACAGGATCAAGCAATATGGATTAAGGAATGGCTGGATGAGTCTGATTACTGAAAAATGGATGACAACTTCCATTCTGGCATTTGTTGCCATCCAAAACGGTTGCTGTAAGCTACACCAAAAAAATTCCTGTGAAAAGGTTTTGGTGTGAAAGTTAAAGCTTTAAATGTTTAGTGTATAAACCGTAGATGTGGCTGTGAATACATCCCATCAGTATTAATGGACCTTTAGTCTTTCCAGACTGTTCATCAAACGAATGCATAGATAACAGATGGAAATTAAGATCTTAAAGCTGAATTTTTGTTGTTCATCATCAATCATCTGACTTTGGCATTTCTGTGAAAAACTTTGACAAGAATGACTCACTCTGTATCGGCAAGCGTGGCTCGAACAGTGGCCCAGATGGTCACAAACACAGCTGGGACGCCTGCAAAATTACACAAAATGTGTGAAAATTGTCATTAAATTGCCATCACATGGTAAAGAACACCTTAAAGTTTTAATTTCAGGTCATATGAGTGGAACTGAGGCAGGACAGCATCCACATTGTATGCGCTGTGCTTCTGTAAGCTATACGCACAGTGTGTACAATGCAGGAACTGTAAAACCCACATTCAAGTATTTATAGGCTGCCCATTAAAGTGTCTGTATTCAACAGTACTATAAAATATGCTGACAACACCTCCTACAGATGCAAACGTTTTGGGATGTTTTGTCTCTCATGTTGAAGTTCAGTTTTGAGGTCAGCTGGTTACACTCAAGTGGATGTATGTAGAAAGTAAATCAAGCAGAACTCACCCCATCCAATCAGAGTAAATCCCCAGAGATACTTTTTGTCCGAAAAAAAGGTCATGAAGATGAGGCTGTGGAGGTAAAGGCCCTCCACGAGGATCCAGTAGTAATTGGTCGCCAGGAAGTACATGAACAAGGTCACAACCACTTTGCAGCTAATCTATACAAAACACACCAGGAAAGAGGAGCCAGTTAATCATGAGGAGAAAAAGAAACTTGATTAATTTTGTCACTTTTTAACATATTTGAACCTAACCCAGACCTGTAGGAATGCTATTAAATTAACTCAATCACAACTCTGATTTTAACACTAAAACATCCTTTAAAGAGGCCAGATGTTTGCAGTGATTTACAAGTAAAGCATGATTGTTAGTCTCTGCATTAAGCTGCTGATCAAAGTAACATAACCCAACCTCACTGATAAAAGAAAAATTAAGTCAGTTTCAGTTAAATCAGAATGACATCGGCAAAATTCCTGCAAAAATCTGGGAAATCCCAAGCTCGCTGATTTTTCCATTGAAAGCAAATAAAAATATTCAAATAGGGGGAGGATTCCATGTTGTCTTATGCGCTTGCCGCCACATTCAGAGCTTTTACAGTCATTCAGGCTGTCTGTGAAATTTATTTCTATTTTCTGTTGTCCTCAACATCCAGAGGTTCTGTGGTATGAATCTGGTATTATAAAAAAGAGAAATCTACACTAAAAAAATGATTAAGAGTTTCAATTTTGATCTTTTTTAAACTGTAATTGTCCTCGTGTTAACGTGATGATGTGTATTTTCCCTGGCGATAGAGGGCAGGACATATCTAAATCAGGCTGTATTTATGTGTTCAAGTAAGACCTCACCAACGGATGCCCATTAGGGTCAAAAATCTCTGGGAGCGCAACCTCCAGCAAAATGACAAGCACATCAGACTCCCGTTTATCACTGGCAATGAGCGAAGAGCTAAATATGTAAAACAACATTTATGAAAAGTGAAAGTTTTGTAATCGTTAGTTATGAATCAGTAAATGCATTTTGTCTAATATGGCGATGTCCAGAGACTTAAACCCACTCCCATGTATTTTAGAACCGATTTTTATGGTTATACGTTACGAAGCTGCCAATATTTTTCAACAACTGGGCATCATTTCAGTCATTTTCAAAAACATTTTGATGAATATATCCAGAGATTTACATTAAAAACTACACATTGTCTCTTTAAAGAGCAAGTCACCCCTACCAGAGTCTTACTCCACCCACACTTCATGTTTTAAAAATGCTCCTGAAGGAGGCATCATCTAGCGGACCGAGACAGTTAGTGACAAAATCGCCCCCTCAACCCCACTTGGGGTTTTCCCGTCCGAGAAACAATCCGTTAACAAGCGTGCACACGCAGGCACACACACACACACACACACACACACACACACACACACACACCACACACACACACGCACACGCACACGCACACGCACACGCACACGCACACGCACACGCACACACACACACACACACACACACACACACACGTTTGAGCACACATGCACACAAACAAACTGCTCTGTTGGAGGATGTTTATTTAAAGAGGTGAGTGGCTCTGAGCCGTATCGGTTCATATTGACTCGTGACTGGCCGAGCCAGCTAGAGGCGTGGCCAAGACTCGGCTGCAGTCCAGTGCAGCCTCATATACGGAAATGGCAACATCAATGGGTACCTCTTAGCCCAAAGCAATGACTGATTCATATTCAATGTAGTGCTGAGTGTTAACCTTAAGAGTAGGGATGTGTACTGGTGAAATTCTGGCAATACGATACATATCACAAGTGGAGATGATGCGATGTATCATTATATATCAACCAGACGATATTAGCAATTTTCTTAGACTGAATTTATTTTAGGAAAATTAAATTAACAGCCTAGACTGATATGTAACATGTAGATAGAGGGATTTACATTTCAGTGGTGGAAAACCCATTGCACACTTCTGCCAACTAGTGGTTAGCGTTTGAATTGCACCAAAAGAAAAGAAAACACACAGATGTTTGCATGTAAATTCTTCCAATAATCCGATACACAGCTTTTGAATATCGATATAATATTGCAGGAAAAATATCATGATATGTTGCCATATTGACATTTTCTTGCACCCCTACTTAAGAGGGTGCCATAATGTCAGCTTTAGGATTTTTGTTGTTGTTTTTAAATAAGATGCACTGAAATAACTAAATGACTACATGTCTAAAGCTTTACAATTATAGTTATTCAGAAAAAATCGTCCATTAGGGGGGCATGCTCTTAACGCGCTGCATCTTTGTTTATTTTTAATAAGTAAAAATTTTATTTTAATAATTAATTAATTTTTTTAAATTATTATTTTATGTGGGTTTTGTGAATGCTGCATTCTTTTTTCGCCAGAACATTCAGCAGGCATCTACTTTAGTCTACACTAAATATAACTTACCTTACAACTAACCTTTATATACACAGCTTGTTTTTCAACATAATGACAAACTGTGTTCTTGGTATTTATATAAGCAACTCTGAACCATACTGTTGTATTGAAATTATTTATGGAATAAAAATTATCTGTTATCTGGTGCATGGATTTTTATTTAATATTGCACAAACATCTGTAACCTCAACTAATCTCACTCAGGGATTTATTGCTTTATTTTCCGTGATTTCTTTTTTTTTTTTCAAAAGATACTTTTTTCTTACCGGTATCTCTCTAGCTCATGCAGGAGACCCAAAAGTCAATACTGGCTCCAAATTCAGGTTGAATCTCCACAGCTTTATCTTCCTCCCAGTGCTGTCACATTATTGCCGTCTATTCTGCTGTCCGTCAGTTAGTTATTGACCATGTTTTAACAGGCTTCAGCAAAAGGTTTCAGAAGAGGGCATTGCTTTAATAAAGGCTTTATTATTTTGGTGGAGAAGCATGTCTGTAATTTGAACGTCTATGTTCCATAACCAGGAATTAAATGAATTTCTAAAGCTGGGGAATTTTTAGGTTCTTATCACGGAAAGAAGAAAATATAGAGGAATAGGTCATTTCTTGTTTAATTAAGATAATAGTCACAATGTTATTCAGAGGGAATTCAAATTAAAATTTACTTACTTGAACGAACGCTCAAGCATAACTCAGATGGGTAAATTCTGCTACTAGGTTGACTATATTTGCATGAATTTAACAAGCAGTTCTAGTGAGACATGCTCAGTTTGGAGGGTTACCTGTATTGCGTATGTTGTTTTAAAGGGGTTGAACACTTGTTTATGCAACACAGTTTCTAGTAGGAATGAATACCTTGTAAGTCATACTCAGGGGAAAAACTCACAGAAAGCGACTGAATCAGGAAGTGCGAGTAAGCTAGAGCAGAAAGTAGCATCAGATGGCAGATTTGGAGTTTTATTTCCAGACATCTCACCATGGAATGGACAACAGCAACATGGCACGAACACTGACTCTATTTGCTTTGCAACGTTGATGTTTTATCTCCACAAATAACATTAGCCTGGAGGAGTTCTGCTGTATGGTGGAACTGTACATGCTAACGGTTAGCTTCTACCAGCCGAGACATTCTCCGCTGTTTCCTGGATGCTAAACCAAAACCAGCCTTCATCCTTGTGAGTCAAAATGGGTGGGTGCATGAATGTTAAGCGACTGTGTGACGTAGATCTGTCAAGATTTTCTAATCCTAGAGTTTCACCATCTTTTTCCTATAAGATGCTAGTGCAGGAGATAGGTGTAAGAGACTATTTTCATGTTTAGCCTGCATAAAAATCTCAGAGTGACCATTATAATCAGAAATAATCATTAAAAAATGTTTTTTTCATGCCACACACTATACTAAAATCTTTTATTTCCCTTCATTGTGAAAAACAATAATATATGTATTTACTTATTTATTATAATTTTCCTGTGCTCTAAATCATAACTTTTTGGAAAGATTCACTCACAAATTGTGCTTTGTTTGCTGATGGAGCTTCAGTAATGGACTTCAAGTCCTCCACTGTGACTCCTTCCATGTTCTCTAATGCTGATCCAGAGTAGAGAACCACATCTTTCACAAAAATGCTGATAGCGCGTAGCATGTAGGACACAAATAAGTGCATGTGGATGTAGTTTCTGGTGCAGTGCAGCCGTCTGGGGAGGAGAAAAAATACGACTAAAAGGTCAAACTGTTAATGAAATGAAGACAGTGTTAATACACACATTCATACACACATACCCAAGCTAATTAAAACCAGCTGAATTCCAAACTGACTCTAACACATTCCTCAGATTTTGCAAAAGCACACAAATATCAGACCTCTATGCTCCAGTTCTGCTGTTAAACAAATTGCAAGCATGTGTAGAGCAGTTGCGAAAACATGCAAATTATCTGCCTGTCAAGCATCCGACACATTTAATGTGGGTTGACCTTTGACGTCACGATCCATTTGACATAATTTGCTGGGTCAATGGACAGAAACCTTAAGTCATTACAGTCCAAAAAATGGCAAAGATAATATTTGCTGAATGTTTATTAGTGCCAAAATATTCTAAAACTGTAGATTTTTAAAACATTTACGGGATACTGAAATTAAACCACTGTATCTACAATCAGCCCCGTCCACAATTTCTTTCACTAAATCTCATTAATGAGCTGACACGGTGCCCTCAGAGACCCATTGATTCAGGAAAACTAATCTAGCATACGTATCCCAGGTGGAAAAATAAACAAAACACAAGTGCTAATGTAAAATATCCCTTTGCTTTCTCTGGAAAACATTTATGAGCTCTCCTTTCGAAAAGCTGATGTGTTGAAGGGGAGACATGGTTGTAGCACTTCGGAGTGCGGTGCCAGAATGTCAGATGGGCCCCTGGGATAACTTATTAAACTCATTTGGCACGTATGTTTCCCCGTTCCAGTTGGAAACGTTCTTAAAATCTGACTGACTGCCTCTACAGTAAGTTACGCCAGTGGGAACATTAGTAAACAGCGGCTTTGCATCGATTCCTGATACTCTCTATGCCCATAAAAAAGCAAACACGGACCAATCTGCTCTGAATTTATCAAAATGATCCAAATTTAACCCCTTGAAGGGATCTTTCCTCCATCTAGGAAGCATTGTATTATCAATACAAGATTTATGGCATCTGAAACTAAGCAAAAATACTCTTCCTTTGTACAAATTTTTACCTTATAAATAAATGATTTACATATTAGCATTTTCTGTTTTGGAAGTAAAAATGAATCCCTTTTTCACTTTTAGTGCTTTCATCTAAATATTCAGTATTTTTCTGTAAAAATAAATAAAAAAAACACATGTGCTGTTATAATCATATTAAACATAATTTAAATCTTAATGGACAATAGCAGAAGCAAATTGTTTTTGCTCTGAATTCAGTCGCCATGCTCCATTAGAACCTCAGCAGGCCAGACCGGTCTTGTGGCTTGCCAATCACAGCGCTCTATCAGTTTGGTGGGCCAATCACGGCCAATCACGACGCTCTATCTCTTTGGTGGGCCAGTCACAGGGCTCTATTGTGGCACTTACGGATTAGCGTCGGCACGGTCAGGGTTTGGTCAGGCTGGGTGGCGTGGGTTCAGTCTTGGATGGGCGGTGTAGTGTTCACATATAAATCCGAGGAACTTCTCAGGAATGCAGAAATCCCTGAGCCTGTGGGCGGCGCTTAATGCGCTCCATAAGGTAAATAAAAGGCGGACATGAGCTGTGTTGCTTCTGGAGACTCTGAACCACATTATTTTATTAATTTGCTGTGTGTGTCCTCATAAACTTGTGCCACACACACACACACACACACACACACACACACACACACACACACACACACACACACACACGCACGCACACACACACACTGATTTCTCCCATGAGCAGCTACCTGCTCACTAGGGCAAGAGCTCTGATGTGGAGAACAGGTGAGCGCGCACACACACACACACACACACACACACACGCACACACACACACACACACACACACACACACACACACACACACACACACACACACACACACACACACACACACACAGCTATTCTCTTCTCCCGTTCCCACACTTAACGACAGAAGTTTACTCAACAGCACCCATCATGAAAATGAATCGCGCTTTCGGGAAACCCCCCGCTGGCTCATTCTTTTTGCAGATCGGAGGCGGTAGGCGTAATTTTAGCCGGCCAATCAGTCCGTAGTGTCGCCTCGGTCCCAGTCTGACCGCTGGGGAGAAGGTTTGAGAAAAAGTCGCCTCAGCACCGAAAACGCAAATCTGACCTGTGTGTGAAACCAAATTCCGATGCCGTTCGATATCTTTTGGGGGAGAGCCAACGCTAATGTGTAAGCGCAATTGGTTTGGTGGGTGAGATGTTACTGCAACTGAGCAAAACTAAAATTGATAGGGCTCATTTGAAACCGCTTTGGCATCAATGTTGGACTATTTAGGCTTGGGTGTTTCTTTGAGTCAAGAGCAAATAGAGGCACTTAAGTCCTTTATAAAGAATAATAATTTATTTGTGTCTTCTTCGACAGCATATGGTGGACTGCGCTGCTGCTTGACATCTGTAGTGGTGAGTATGTCACATCGTTTGTTGTTCAATAGAATCCATGGACAGTTTGAAAGACAACTGAAGAAGCTACCCCATAACTGAGCTCTGTCTATGCGTTGTAACCAGACTATATGCGGTATGCATGAGTATGGGATGGCTTGCCAGGCTAGCAGAACTACTTTTATTCAGCCACAATGCAAGGTTTTAAAGCATTTACAATCGAATCTCAATCTAGACCTTGACTTGCTCATTTCAAAACTTTTTATTTTTTTAACCATTTTTAACCAACTTGATCTTGAGTTGTCAAGGTCCTGAACCAGCAACCCTACCCTAGACCAACAACGGTGTCTGACTATAGGTATTTTTCCACCATTGGAACTTCCTTTTACTGGACCTTTGCAACATGCGTGTTTCCATTTCACCGGGCTGGCCTGAAAGGACCATTTTCCGGGCCATTTCAGGAACCAAACAAGTACCTCAAATGGGGTATGTAGTCGCAACTGACTCTGTATAGTTGCTGAGCGGGACTTGTGGTTAACTCATGCTGCTTGGTTGTAACTCAAAAGGAAACTATATCAGCAGATATGGCAACTTAATTGAGATACTGGAGGAGTTGCTGGTAAAGCTGAATGAAAAGAAAAGAAAGTAAGCAGTAGTCACACTGCTATAAAATTACAATTTTTTTAAATCACAAAGATGAAAAATGTGGCAAAAATCCCTCCCAAACACTGTAAATATGGTTTCTTGTGATGTCTTACAGAGCACCGTAAAAAACGACACTTCTTCTGGTCATTGAATGTCATTTTTTTACATCCCAGAGCCAATCTCCTTGTCCTAGGCGGAATGCCTACTTTTATTCTACTTCGAGAGAATAAAACTTTTAACGTTATTAATGCACATGGATGCCTTAAAGCGCTGATCAGTGACATCACTCAAAATGGCTGCGATATGTTGACGTCTTAGCTAATTCCTGAAAAGGGCCGATTTTGCATAGAAACACGACAACTGAGATGACCGAGCCATCGTATTTCCTCTGCCCACTTCCCCCTTCCAATAACTTTCCTGGAACTCCTAGTGGAAACGTGGCTTATGATGTTCTTTCCTGAAACACAGTGCTAGTTTCACAGCTGATGTAACAAGACACAGATGTTCCAAAACGTTCCACTTTTGCTTCATGAATATCTTCCCAGCAGGGCTCATCAAAGAAATAGTTTCTTGTCCTATGTGTTATATTTGGTCACTTTCTTATTATGTGTCGTGACCCCCGACTTCCTGTAGTAATTCAAATGACTAAGTTCTTTTATTTGTTTAAAAATTGGGCACAATGTGTTGACATCTTTTAGCCTACCTCATGCCATCAAACAGGTTCTATCTCAATTTACAGCTCCAGCAGTAACAAGGCCTGGGTGTGGCATGTGAAACTGAACTCAGCCTTCAAAATAATACAGTTAATCAGGATTATTTCATGATTTAACGGGGTGCAATTACGTTTTCACGTAGAACCAGGTTAGTTTGAATAGGTTTTGTCTCCTGATTGATAAAACCATTGCATAAAAGCTGCATTTTGTATTTGTCTGATACTGAAGTTTGTTGCTCATCTGAACTGTTTAGGGGTGAGAAAATAGAAAAAACCAGAGTGGATCTGTGGGAGGGTAAATACTGAGAAAGCTGTGTGGAATTACAAAACTCAAAACAGAACATTTAGTTGCTTTTCAACTAAACCCCAAATCAGCCTGAAAACAATAACATGTCAAGCAAGAAGGCATGAATTAGTGCAAGCCTGAAAGAAGACTGCTTCTCATCATTTTAGTCTGTTAAGGTCAAATGTCACATTTGATGGAGCCTAGATGCTCCATTTTGTGAGATTTACCCATATTTGAATCTATATTTTTAATAAAATGTCATGAGACTTCCTGTTGATTCTTTCATGCAAATGCTGCTACCTTCATTTGATGCAGTAAAATGTTTTATTTTGTATGAAAATGTTTTAATGGTGACAGCACAGACTCACCGAAAATAACCCAAGATAACGACAGCCACCATGAGGGATCCCAAAGAGATGGAGTACCCGACTGTGTAGATGAGATACAAACGGTGAAAGACCTCCTGTTGGAGAAGAATCGTTTTTTTAGACACTTGAAAGGCACAAAAACAGACAGAAACATGGAATACTTCTTTATTCATTTAGATTTTAGAATTTTTTATTGAGAGATCAAAATCTTAAAATATATTTTCTTTAGAGTTTCTAACAATTTTCCAAACAGATGTGGCTAAATAAGTTAAAATACAGAGAGACTTAAAAACCATACTAAAGCATCAAATGATTATATTAAGAAAATTTCTAAATTACATTTTATTATCATTATGCAAACAAATTTCTAATTATGCCTTGGTAAACAAGTATTTAGAAAGTAACTTTTTTTATTTTAATTCATATAAATTATTATTTTATTTTAATTTAGTTTACCGAAATAAATCTTTTTAATTGTATCTTCATTTTTCATATTAAAAATAATTACAAAGTTTGAATCTGTCATCTTGTGTACACTTCCATACGAGAGAGAGAGAGAGAGAGAGAGAGAGAGAGAGAGAGAGAGAGAGAGAGAGAGAGAGAGAGAGAGAGAGAGAGAGAGAGAGAAGAGAGAGAGAGACAGAGACAGAGAAAGAGAGAGAGAGAGAGAGAGAGAGAGAGAGAGAGAGAGAGAGAGAAAGAGAGAGACAGAGACAGAGACAGAGAGAGAGAGAGAGACAGAGAGAGAGAGAGAGAGAGAGAGAAAGAGAGAGAGAGACAGAGACAGAGAAAGAGAGAGAGAGAGAGAGAGAGAGAGAGACAGAGAGAGAGAGAGAGACAGAGAGAGAGAAAGAGAGAGAGAGAGACAGAGACAGAGACAGAGAGAGAGAGAGAGAGAGAGAGAGAGAGAGAGACAGAGACACAGAGAGAGACAGAGACAGAGACAGAGACAGAGAGAGAGAGAAAATCCAGCAGCAAACTGGCACAAGAGGACACCGTAAACTAGGCCATTCACTAAACCCTCTTTGTCCCAGTGTGCAAAGGGGCCAAAGGGCTCCATGTCTTGATATTTATTTTTTAAATTTATTTTATTTATTTAACCTTAATAGTAATTAGCTTCACATCAAAGAAAAACATGTAAAATAAAAAACATACTAGAATAAAAATAAGAAAAAAAAGACAAAGGACTGTTCTCATATATAAAATGTGCACGCAAACAAAACAGACTTAAAACTGTCTGCACTCAGAAGCAGGCTATTGATTGCAATGAATTATTGAAGGTAGAAAAATGAAACATAGGTAGTGAGCTTCAGTGATTTTTTGCAGCTCATTCCAGTCATTGGAAGCAGCAAACTGGAATGAGGAGCATCCAAAGGAGGTGCGAGCTTTGGGAATAATCATAGAGATGAAGTTACTGGAACGTAAATTGCTCTGGTTATTGGATGTGATGAGTATTGAGAGAAGATATGATGGAGTTCTACTGATGATTGTTTTGTGTATGAACTGATATCAATGTAACAACCTGCAGGACTGGAGTGATGGCCAATTAACGAGTGAGTACAAATCACAATGATGAGTAGTGAAAGAGGCACCAGTGATCACTGGGTCCAGCTTTAGAAAAGCCTGACATGTTTTATTATAACACTGGTCAGAAGTGACATACATGGCCCTGCTTCAACCCAATCAAACCTGGGATTACATGATACCAGCTCAATTGCATAAAACCTTCTAGAAATGTCCTAAAAAATCTGAAAACTAAGACCAACAGGATTTGTGATTTGTCATCTTCAGTCGTTATATTCTAAAGCAACACTTTAACATGCACATACTATCATCCAAGTTTATTTAATAAATATTAAAAACATGCAGCAACAACAACTAGGGGTGAAGGACACTCTGATTGATGTGAATTCTCTCTGGAGTGCTCCCTGTCAAGTTTTGCAATTTCCTATGAGGACTGATGTGACACAGGCTTTCAGATTGTGTTTGAAGTGAATTTTAACTAAAGAATATTATCACAAAGCAACCCCGCTGCTAGTCTGTCATTATCTCCCCATGTCATAAAAAAAGACAATTCACATTAATGAGAAGGCCTATTGCTAATGTGTTACACATTCCAAACCTATTATGATGACAGGCTTTAATTGTGCAATACTAAAGGACTGCTTTGACTGGTGATGCATTCAGTCATCCTAATGAGAAGAACTAGTGTTTCTGTGATCCTAAGCATGCAAATAGGAAGGAGAAGAATCTCACCTTTTCATGGCTATAGTTGTAATGGTAAAGGAATTTTGTACACTCGTTATAATTGGCCCATGTCTTGTTGATTGAGGCCAGCTCCCACGTTCCATTGTTGTCACATCGCCGGTATGCCAGTCCTGGATACCAGAAGACAAGACAACTCACCGTCTCGTAAGAAAATATGTAATGGAACAAATGTGCACACACACACAAAAAAGTAATAAAGATTTAGAAATTATGGGAAGGTGCATTAACATAATGGGATAGTTTTACATGTATTATGTAGTATTAATAGTTATTACTCACTTCTTAGATGTTTCAATAGATCCTTAACATTTATGTATTCATTTAAAGAGCTTGTTTACGAAAACTGATAATTCTGTTTTTTTATGTTCAAAATTCATCTTTTTTGTTATTTACTTCAGCTGGTATCAGTCAAAATAACAATAAATAAACATAATCCAAATCTGAAAACTACTAAATTTCTGAAGTGATCCAATGTTCAAATAATGTGCACTTTTTTTTTCTAAAATGATGTTAACCATGCACCAAGCATATTGCCGTCAGTGTGAGGAAAAACATTAACGAGTATCTCGCAACAATGAGAAAGCTTTTTGTTACAACATGATATGAATCTTGTTTTAACGTTTTCATAATAACAAAATATAAAAGTCATTTTACAGAGAAAGTTTCTCAAAATAATGTGTTAAATATTTAATAATAATGAAAAAGTTTGTAATATCAACCAATCAAATAATTTTTTTGTATAGCACTTTAAATGTAACAATGTTGCTCAAAAAACATAAAATAACTATAATAATAATAATAATAATAATAATAATAATAATAATAATAATTCGTCTTCGTCGTCTTCGTCTTCCTCCGCTTATCCGGGTCCGGGTCGTGGGGGCAGCATCCCAATTAGGGAGCTCCAGGCCGTCCTCTCCCCGGCCTTGTCCACCAGCTCCTCCGGCAGGACCCCAAGGCGTTCCCGGACCAGATTGGAGATGTAACCTCTCCAACGTGTCCTGGGTCGACCCGGGGGCCTTCTGCCGGCAGGACATGCCCGAAACACTTCCCCGGGGAGGCGTCCAGGAGGCATCCTGACCAGATGCCCAAACCACCTCAACTGGCTCCTTTCGATCCGGAGGAGCAGCGGTTCTACTCCGAGTCCCTCCCGAATGTCCGAGCTCCTCACCCTATCTCTAAGGCTGAGCCCGGCCACCCTACGGAGGAAACTCATTTCGGCCGCTTGTATCAGCGATCTTGTTCTTTCGGTCATTACCCAAAGCTCATGACCATAGGTGAGGATTGGGACGTAGATCGACCGGTAAATCGAGAGCCTGGCTTTCTGGCTCAGCTCCCTCTTCACCACGACAGATCGGCTCAGCGTCCGCATCACTGCAGACGCCGAACCAATCCGCCTGTCGATCTCCCGATCCCTCCTACCCTCACTCGTGAACAAGACCCCGAGATACTTAAACTCCTCCACTTGAGGTAGGACCTCTCCCCCGACCCGGAGGTGGCAAGCCACCCTTTTCCGGTCGAGAACCATGGTCTCAGATTTGGAGGTGCTGATCCTCATCCCAGCCGCTTCACATTCGGCCGCGAACCTACCCAGCAAGAGCTGAAGGTCAGAGCTGGATGAAGCTAGGAGGACCACATCATCCGCAAAAAGCAGAGACGAGATTCTCCTGCCACCAAACTCGACACACTCCACACCACGGCTGCGTCTAGAAATTCTGTCCATAAAAGTGATGAACAGAACCGGTGACAAAGGGCAGCCCTGGCGGAGTCCAACCCTCACTGGGAACAGGTCCGACTTACTACCGGCTATGCGGACCAAACTCACGCTCCTCTGGTAAAGGGACTGAATGGCCCTTAACAGAAAGCCACCCACCCCATACTCCTGGAGCGTCCCCCACAGGGTGCCCCTGGGGACACGGTCATAAGCCTTCTCCAAATCCACAAAGCACATGTGGATTGGTTGGGCAAACTCCCATGCCCCTCCATCACCCTTGCAAGGGTATAGAGCTGGTCCACAGTTCCACGGCCAGGACGAAAACCACATTGCTCCTCCTCTATCTGAGATTCAACTATCGATCGGACCCTCCTCTCCAGTACCTTGGCGTAGACCTTTCCAGGGAGGCTGAGGAGTGTGATCCCCCTATAGTTGGAACACACCCTCAGGTCACCCTTCTTAAAGATGGGGACTACCACCCCGGTCTGCCACTCCCTAGGAACTGCCCCCGATGACCACGCAATGTTGTAGAGACGTGTCAACCATGACAGCCCTACAACATCCATAGCCTTGAGATACCCAGGACGAACCTCATCCGCCCCCGGGGCTCCGCCGCTGTGTAGTTGTTTGACTACCTCAGCAACTTCTGCCCCCTAGATCGGACAGTCCATCCCCAGGCCTCCCAGCTCTGGTTCCTCCTCGGAATGCGCATTGGTGGGATTGAGGAGCTCCTCAAAGTATTCCTTCCACCGTCCGACTATATCCTCAGTTGACGTCAGCAGCTCCCCATCCCCACTGTTAACAGTGTGAGCGAGTTGCTGCCTTCCTCTCCTGAGGCGCCGGACAGTTTGCCAGAACCTCTTTGGAGCCGATCGATAGTCTTTCTCCATGGCCTCACCAAACTCCTCCCACGCCCGAGATTTTGCCTCGGCAACTGCCACTGCTGCACCCCGCTTGGCTATCCGTTACCTGTCTGCTGCCTCCGGAGACCCACAGACCAGCCACGCCCTGTAGGCCTCCTTCTTCAGCCTGACGGCTCCCCGAACCTCTGGTGTCCACCAGCGGGTACGGGGGTTGCCACCACGACTGGCACCGGCCACCTTACGGCCACAGCTAGCAACAGCCGCCTCGACAATCGCAGAGTGGAACAAGGCCCACTCGGACTCAATGTCCCCCACTGCTCTCGGGACGTGGTCAAAGCTCTGCCGGAGGTGGGAGTTGAAGACCGTCTTGACAGGTTCTTCTGCCAGGCGTTCCCAGCAGACCCTTACTATGCGTTTGGGTCTGCCAGGTCTACGCGGCATGTTTCCTTGCCATCTGATCCAACTCACCACCAGGTGGTGATCAGTTGACAGCTCCGCCCCTCTCTTCACTCGGGTGTCCAAAACATACGGCCGCAGGTCAGATGATACGACTACAAAATCTATCATCGACCTGTGACCTAGGCTGCCCTGGTACCAAGTGTACCGGTGGGCATCCTTATGTTCGAACATCGTGTTCGTTATGGCCAAACTGCGGCTTGCACAGAAGTCCAATAACAAAACACCGCTCGAGTTCAGATTAGGTGGGCCGTTCCTCCCAATCACACCCCTCCAGGTCAAGCTGTCATTGCCCACGTGAGCATTGAAGTCCCCCAGCAGGACAATGGAGTCCCCTGATGGAGCACTATCTAGCACTCGTCCCAGGGACTCCAAAAAGGGTGGGTACTCTGAACTGATATTTGGCCCATAAGCACAAACAACAGTCAGGACCCGTTCCCCGACCCGAAGGCGCAAGGAAGCTACCCTCTTGTCCCCCGGGGTAAACCCCAACACACAGGCAGAGAGTCTCTGGGCTAACAAAAAGCCAACCCCAGCCCTCCGCCTCTCACCCGGAGCAACTCCAGCAAAGTAGAGTGTCCAACCCCTCTCCAGGTCTCGGGTTCCAGAGCCAATGCAATGTGTCGAGGTGAGTCCAACTATATCTAGCCGGTACCGCTCAACCTCTGCCACAAGCTCCGGCTCCTTCCCCGCCAGCGAGGTGACGTTCCATGTCCCAAAAACTAGTTTTCTTGTCCGGGGATTGGACCGCCAAGGCTCCCGCCTTGGTCTGCCACCCGATTCGCATTGCACCGGACCCTTCATGTTCCTCCTGCGGGTGGTGGGTCCACAGTTGGACGAGCCCATGTATCCGGTTCGGGCTGGGCCCGGCCGGGCCCCATGGGCGAAAGCCCGGCCACCAGGCGCTCGCTCACGGGCCCCAACCCCAGGCCTGGCTCCAGGGTGGGACCCCGGTAACCCTCCGGGCCGGGTACTCCGACTCTTCGTTTTAACCGCCATGAAAGATCCTTCGAACCGTTCTTTGTCTCACCCTTCACCTAAGACCAATTTGTCATGGGAGACCCTACCAGGGGCACTAAGTGCCCCAGACAACATAGCTCCTAGGATCATTAGGGCACTCAAACTCCTCCACCACGATAAGGTGACGGTTCAAGGAGGAGTAATAGTAATAGTAAAATTGTGGTTATATGTTGTAGCGATGTAGTCCAGATGAATGAGCTAGTTATTCCTGTTCTTGGCAGCGTTTTAGGAAGTATGGCAGTAGCAGTGCCACAACAATGGGGGTTGTAACACAAATAGATTCCCCACACAAGGGGACCATGTCAATATCCTTTTATTCATGTAAAAAGGTTTCAAAGTTTTAAAATTGTAAAAGGCAAAAACAGGAAGTGAACTTTTACTTTGAAAGCTGCACCTCAACCAGAAAAAGGAAATATTACATGAAATCCACGTAAAGACTGTTTCATTGTTTTTAATGTGAAGAACACCTTGACCAAAGTGTGGAGGAATATGTCCATCTGATAAATTACTGCTTCATAAAAAGGCACAAAGTATCTCTTGCTGACTCTATCGTCTACCTTTGTTTCTTCTGGACGAAATTCAGACATCCTGTGTGATTGGCGAACTTTCTCATTATTACGAGATAAAAAACACAATTAGAAAAAAAATCCTTCAAGTTATAACGAGAAATGTTCTGATTATTACGAGATACTGCTTCTATAGTTTTTACCAGCACTGATGGTAATGCACTTCCATTGAATTTTACCTTTATGGTTGAAGTCATAGATGTACTCAGGACAAGACGTGGATACACGCTTTCCAGGAGCTCCTTCAGGCCAGCAAACAATGCCATCCCATTCTGGTGGGCAGAAACCACCTGCACACACAAAATCAGAACAGACTTTTATAAAATAAAAGCACTGCGTATTCTAAAGCTGTCCGTCATCTTTAAAGGCACAAATGGCAGTTTTGCTTGCTTTTAGCACCCCCTAGTGTCCGTTAATAATTATCTGTGGTTAAACGGAAAATGAAATGTATCTCCTTGCTGTGTGTTTGTCATTTTAACAACTTAATCTAACTACTGTAACGCCTCTCCAGCCTTCATTCGTATCTAGAGGAGTGATTCATCACTAAATGAAACAAATCAGCCGTGTTCATGATCTAAAACATGCAGGAAATGCAGCGTCAGCATGTCAGCTCAAAAAGCTGACATGCTGACAAAGTCCAACAGGTAGCAACCCGCTACTCTGAAATTGACTCAGGAAGCAGTGGGGTCTGAGTGACATTTCATTAACCCTGTAAAGGGCCATTTTACCACATACTGGTACAAGAAAATTATTTAAAGGGATACTAAGCAGCTTTGCTTGCTTTAGACACCCCCGGTGTTCATTTGTAGAAGCAAAACTATCTCCTTGCTGTGCGTTCGTCTTTTTAAAGCCTTAATCCAGGCCTACTCAATGCCAGGTCTCAAGGGTCGGTATTCGGCACATTTTAGATTCAGTGGTTGAGTCACCTGTGTTGCTGCTCATCAGGCTCTGCAGAAGCCTGTTAATTACCTGCTGATTAAAATCAGGCGTTTAACAGAGTTAAAAATTAAACGTACTGAAAACCTGCCCTCCATTCCTGGAACTGAACTCCCCTGCCATAGGTTAGATGCATGACCTGCATGTTTATGTAAATTAGCATTTTCAATGTGCCTTGTAATTTATGGTGAGTCTCACCAAAAAATGGTTAAGAAAACTCGGGTCACCACCAGGAAGCACACCATTACAGCACTTCCTATTTGTTGCAACATAAAGACTTGGCCGAATGGAATTCCCTATAACAAGCTGTCAATTGAATCCAGTGTGTTAAGGCACGATTGTTAGCTTCTCTGAATTTTTACAAGCGCTTCATTGTTGATGGAATCATGCAGGTTTTATGTTGCATGGAAATGGTTTTAGCATGGATCTCATTTATAAGATTCCCTGCAACAGTGAACGCATTGAAGCTCTTTAAGTAGGTTATTATGGATAAATCCAACTACTAGGTTATAGAGACACAGTTCTTATCTTGCCTTATCATTCTGTCTATTTAATATTATTTCAGACCATGGATGTCTATAGACTTGGATCTCTGATAATGGAAACAAAATTCCATCCCCACAAAGTCTTTGTAAAAAATCTCTCTTATGGCTTGGCATTCATGTTGCATTATTGAAAGCATCTGCCCTGCTTTAACCACTAATAAGTAGTTGTATATAAAACTCAAATGATCTCTATGCAACAGATCCGCTATTTGGGGGGAAAAAGCATCTGACGCTTTGGCCACTTGTGTTTGTATTTGCCTGTCACTGCGAGCATGAAATTAAAGAGCAGACTGACTGGAGCTGGCAGAGTCCCACAGATCTCTGAGAAAAAACAGAGTTCAGTTTTCAAAAATCACACTGACCACACATCCTGGGAGTAAAAGTAGAATAGCTGCTCTCCTTTTGCCAGAGTTTTATTTCTATAGGACCACCTACAAACAGGCCTAAATTAGTCGCTAAACACACGAGTATGCAGTTTCCCGTAAATTTCCTCCACCACGATTTAAATATAAACGTGACTGTGAATGCACTTTGGTATTAGTGATGTCACTGGGGTTTTGAGAACATTTTCTTTTCCTTCCCCTGACTTATTTGATTCTGACCTGTCCAAACACAAATTGCATTTTCTCCTGATGCATGCAACCTTTTTTATAGTGACTTCCAGTGTTATTCTACACTCAAAACCACAAGCTTCAGGGCTGAGCTATTTTCACACTGCAAAACTTTGGGGATTTGAACCCACATCCCTCCACGGTCCTGCCTGAGCAAACCTCAACATTCCCCCTCAAAGAAAACATTGTCTCAGCACTTTAATGATAACTTTTTTGTGTATTTCATGGACAAATATGGAATTAAAAGCTAAAATAGAACTTGGTTTGGAGCCTCAGAGGGTATCCATCATTTCTCTTTTCAATCTAAACTTAATATATCTGAAAATTGGTTTGACCTCAGGTTTTGTATATGCTCTTGAGACAGTTCAGCACATAACAGCAGGGTGTCGACAAGGAAAATAGCTGCAAAGATTTAAAAAGAATGAGCGAGCTAGGATCTTGTGGGACTTCCAGATCCTCACTAATAGAAATGAATGATGGCTGGTCAACAAAACCACAGAAGAAGGAAGTGGTGACAGATGGAGGAAGAGTAAAAACTCGAACTAAGATGCATAAAAAGATTAAGAACTAATGACAATAATAAATGATACAAAATATGAGCAATATAAGTGGTACAAAGTAAAAAAAAGTCCAATCAGTCATGTAAAATGTGCATTCAGACTGTGTTCATCCATGCATATGTCAGGACATAATTTGGTTATATTATTAGTCTGGCTTTAATAGACATCTTGATAAAAATAGACATGTTCAATGTTCCAAAAGAGGTCAGAAACATCATGCATGATGAGTCGTATAAAGTGTTACAGGTACGCAGATCAGCTGTCTTGTGCTGACCTGCTGCATGTAACAGCTATTAGACCATTAAAGAAGAGGACATATCTGCAGTTACACAGCAAATATACAAAAGCTGCAGAAGTCAGGATAACCAAACATGTAATGGAGAGCTATGTATTTCTTTTTCATTTTTGTCTCAAAATTCCTGGGAAGTCAACCACTTTCCATTCTGTTATTGGCAGAGGTTTTTAGAGAAATGCGAGAGAACCACTTCATTCATTTTTTGTCTTTTTTAATTTCCAGTACTTCGTTAGAACGTTAAATCTGCTGTACTCAATCTGCAAACATGCTACTGAAGGTTGTGAAAGCAAATATGGTCACGGAACGCTCGCCCCTCCTCTGGGGTATCTTTCTTGGATCCGTGTCCACCGGAACCGAAAACCCACATTGTCAGAAGACACAAAACTGCGCTAAACACCAGTCGTCGTTTTCTCCAAAAATGTTTTGTTGTTTGTGACTTCAACCCCCAACTGGTTGGGACTCTGGTAGTTTGTCCTAAAATTGAAGTGGTAGCAGCCAGCTAATTCTCCTTCTCTGATGCTGTTGAGCCAAGAACCTCTCAAACCAATGGTGTTCTGTTGCTAAATACATGGGTGCGTAATGATTGGAGGAGGCAGGGAAGTGCAGAGAGACAGACAACTGGATGGTCCAATAGTTGCTTTTGGTCCGAATCGTGTTATTGGCGAAGGTTTTGAATGTGAGAGAACCACTTTATTATAAACAATGTAATATGACAGTTGGACTCCACCAAGGCTGCCCTTCGTCACCGATCCTGTTCATAACTTTCATGGACAGGATTTCAGCCAAGGTGATGAGGAGATCTGTTTTAGTGGTCTAGGATCAGGTTTCTGCTTATTGCAGATAATGTGATCCTGTTAGGTACATCTGATTGTGATCTCCAGATTCCCCAGGCGTGGTTCGTAGCCAAGTGTGAAGCAGCTGGGATGAGAATCAGCTCCTCTAAATCCAAGACCATGGTCTTGGGACAAGGTCCTGCCCCAAGTGGAGGAGTCTAAGTATCTCGGGGTCTTGTTCATGAGTGAGGGAAAAATGGAGCACGAGATCGACAGGCGGATTGGTGCTACGTCTGCAGTGATGCAGGTGTTGTTCCAGTCTGTCGTGGAGAAGAGAGAGCTGAGCCGTAAGGCTACTCCTACTGTCATCTATGGTCACGAGCTTTAGGTAGTGACCGAAAGAATCACAACACAAGTACAAGCGGCCAAAATTAGTTTTGCTGCAGGGTGTCTGGGCTCTCCCTTAGAGATAGGGTGAGAAGCTCGCTCATCTGGGAGGGGCTCAGAGTAGACCCACTGCTCCTGCACATCAAGAGAAGCTAGTTAGACCTTCTCAGTGTCTGCCCTGGGACTGAGGGATCACGGTTCGGTCATACCAAAGACTTTAAAAATGGAACACACTGCCTCCCTGCTTCACACTCAAATTTCAGGGGTGGGATTGGCGAGTTAACTCACCAAATAGTCCCCGAGCGCAGCCGCAGCTGCAGCTCACCGCTCCCCATGAGGATTGGTCAAAATGCGGAGATGAATTTCACCAGTGTGTGATAACTAATGGGAATTTGACTTTAACTTTTAGGTAGCTCGGGCATCTGGTTAGGATGCCTCCTGGACGCCTCCACATCCAACTGGGAGGAGACCCAAGGGAAGACCCAGGACACACAGGAGGGACTATGTTTCTCTGCTGGCCAGGGAACACATTAGGATACCCCTGGAGAAGCTGGCCTAAGTGGCTGGGGAAAGGGAAGTCTGGACCGACCTCTTTGCTTAGGCTGCTGCCCCTGTGACCCGACCTGGATAAGAGGACAATAATGGATGGATAAATAAACAGATGTTATTAATCTATTGAAATCCGCCACACTCAGAGCATATGTTCCATGAAAATGGTAAAAAAAAATCTGTATTTTTTAATCCTGCAGACATAAACAGATTTTAAACCTGAAGCACATCTCACATCAGACATTAAATGATCAATCGCCTGCTTTCATATTATATCTTGACCTAGATTATATCTCATGCAAGCACATGGAAACGTGCGCACACACACACACACACACACACACACACACACACACACACACACACACACACACACACACACACACACACACACACATACATGCTGACACATAAGGGCAGAGCTGCTATACAGAAAAGTATAAAAGAAGTTTATGTATTTCATCAGATTGGTTTGTAACACTTCTAAGTAATTTATTGAATTGTTTATTTTTTGTTATTCTTCTGCTCATTTTATTTTCCCATGATTTTTTGATACCAACACAAAGTTCACCAGAACCTCAGCTGCACACAAGGACTGACAGCAGCTGTAACGATCCTTCACAGGAAGGGTGTTCTTCAGAAGGAGATTAATGGCTTAACTAGGTATGTTGAGGTTGAAGTCAGAGTTTTTAGTGTCATGAAAGCTTCCCACTTTAATCCAGGTTGGATCAGCGAGGCTACACGCACTCCTCCACAGCAGAGTTTCAGATCATCTGTGCAAAAGATTAATCATCCCACTGATTTGTCATTCTGAACATTTAAATGTCGCAATTCAGTCCTTGTTACTTTATGGAACTGGAATAAAACTGGGAGCACTGGAATGACTTCTAAAAATATTGGAATTTTTGGAAAAATTACCTTAAAGGAGTGTGCATCATTTAACATAATGACATTTTCTTAATCAAAATAATCCAGATCAAGGATTTTAATATCAAAGGCTTTTTTATAATATAAACTCTTTTTAGTTTGTTTTGTCCTGCTTGCAGCACCTGTCCAGATGTAAACTATTATTGTAGCTGATTTTGGATCATTTACAGTAATGTCCTTTAATGTGCAGCGTCAACTGCTAAATCAGCTCAAATAAATGTAAATCTAAGAAAAGCAGTTGCATTGAAGCGTGTTGCTGGATTGGCGTCTTGTTCATTTGGAGACCAGAATATTGCAGGCTTTCGTGAGAAAAGCAGCTTTTATAACCAAGGACGGCAGCTGAAGATGTTTAAGGGGGAAACCGAAGCCTGCTGTGGATGTTCTGGAGTTTAACATGTGTACCACATAGCTATAATGCTCTACAAGATAATATATATTTCAAAATATTAAAATTTAAAAAAAGAAACAAAACTGGCTTCTGATCAGTAGAGAAAAGAGTCCAGATGTCTGAGTAGTTTCTGCGATTCCGTGTTATTGCCTTTGGACGTCTGTCACTTTAAGCTAAAGCCTGGCGTTAATGCACAGGCATTCAACAAATACAAGATACATTTTTCAGCCCCTAAAGTTCTCCTCGGTAACAATATATTTTTTTTATCCAATTTGAGATTCATGAACATTTATTGAAACCACTAAATGTTGGGTAATACCAAACAAGAAATGCATCTACAGGGAAAAGTCAACAATAGCCTTTGTGTTCTGAGAATGGTATGTTCTTAATTATGAGTTTCATTTACAAAGGGGATTATTTGAAGGGTCAAAAAACTTAAGGAGACCACAATGTTACTGGGGTTGAAGAGAAAATATGAGTGGCTTGGCTGCAGGATCCGAAATCCCTTCCTGAACAATCAACTGATAATAATACAGAAACCACAGCTGGGGTGGAGGATGGAGACTGGTGGAAAATGATGCTCTCTGGATACCCATAATACACAAAACTGGGGCTTAAATACACCCGAGGATCAGCTTTACCTTCAATCCCAGCCTCAGGAAAGCCACTGGGAGGACAACGGAAGCCAAGACTTTTTTTACTGTAACTGAAAGTTTAGCTGCTTTACCCAAGAGGATGTTGAATTAGAACATTTAATTTATATTTAAAACATTTAATGAAGCAAGATCATTACTGTGAAGAGCTAAATTATGCACAACAACTGATTGTTATTGCAAGCTCTTATAAATCAGCTTTCACAATAAAAAAAAATAACCCACAAACCACATTCAGTTGTGAAAACAAATTCATCTTCTCAGACATCTTGTGATCGTCCTGCTAGCCCTGCTAACTATGCTGCTGTTTGAAAACTTGTGTGTTTGGTTTCTATCTTCCTGACATCAACCTCCCTGAACCTCTGAAACAATGAGCTGTCTAAGGTGTCATTTTATAAACCCCCCAGTCAGCAACTCCAAAGCTCACTCATTCATTCACCTAAAGTGCTTATTCATCTTTTGGGTTGCGGGAAGATGGTGCTCAACTCCAGTGGTCATTGGACGAGAGGAGGGGGACACCCTGGACAGATTTTCAGTGCATCACAGGGACAGAGGCAAACAACAAATTACACACTCACTCACACACACTAGAGTCACTAACCTGTCTTAAGCCAATCAAAGGGCTAACAGTTAAATGTACAACATTTTATTATGGGAAAAACACTGACCTTTGAACTAGAATAGATCGGTTTAATTGAACTTCACCATGAACACGATTTTTTGCTTTTTTAAAATGATTATTATTAAATATTGACTTATTTTTTGTAAAGAATGGCAACAGGAAAACAAATTACTCTTGTTTCCATGGTAAGTTTTTTTTATTAGAAAATACCTGTGGGCACCTCATAGGGTTCCTGGGTGGCACCCTGGTGCCCAGTTAGTGACCCTAATTTAGAGTTCCCTAACATGCTGTGTTTTTGGTCTGTAAGAGAAAATCAGAGTACCCAGTGGAAAATCGTGCATGCATGGGTAGAACATGCTAACTCTGCACTGGAAGGCTGCAGCTGGTATTTGAACCTGTGGACTTCTTGCTGCGAGGCAACACTGCTAACTGCACCACCCTGCAGCCTTAACTCCAAAACTTGTACAAAATAAAGGTTTCTGTCAGCCTTCTGGAGCTATGAGAGACACATTTGTGGGTTCTATTAGCTGTTTCTCCAACCTCATTTTTATCTTAATTTATTAGCAATTTTTTTACAAAAAAAATTGCTAAATATATTTTAAACTCAAACCCAACAAACAGAAAATAAACACTTCAAAATCTAAAAGCTTGGCAATGTTTTGAAGCTATGAATTTCATTTCCATGCCCAAACTAAGTTTATAGAGTTACATTTGTTATTATCAATTTTTAAAATCATGTTTCACATGTTCTAAGTCAATATTGCAAGGAGCTGCACAGTCAGTTAGCTAAGGCCAGAGTAAGAAAGATTTTCCTTCACTCACCTGGAATTCTGGCCTTTAGCTTTATGTTCCGCTCGCATTTTTGTTTCGCCATGAACAGCAGGCCTATTTGCTCCTCTTTTGTCAGAACATCATCTGCACAAACCTGGAGAAGAGATCCAGAAGGGGAAAAAAAGTTTAGGAAAGAAAAGGAAAGTGGCTATGACGCGTATACAGTGTTGGGCAAGTTACTTCAAAACTGTAATGCATTATTTATTACTTGTTACCCTCATTTTAAAGTAATTCATTACATTACAATATTACTGATTTTAAAATGTAAGGCATTACACTACTTTTGCATTACTTTAAGTTACTTTCACCAATACAACTTCAATATGAGTCTGGTAATCTGATGCTGAGTGAGCTCATGACATACATGTGGAAGGTGATGTGGTGTCTGAGCTAGGATTGCTGTTAAAAACAGTCAGATATAATAACAGTGCTTTAAAATGATTGTTTATTAAATAAAAACAACAACAATCTGTACTCTCCGCACGCTGCCATCTTATATTAACTGAGCAGGGAGTGAGGTGGTGGGGGCTCCAAGCCTATATTTGCCTTGATCCCCAAATGCCTTGATACGGCCCTGGATGTGGGACTGACTTCTGGGGAGATCTGATTCTATCACATGTATAAATATTAAATGCTTACATGTTATTGCTTTTCACTGGTAAAAATGTCTATTGGAGATAAATCTACCTGCTTTTTTTCTTGATTTTATTTGAATAATTTCCTGCCCATTCTCTGTCTAACCTTCCTGCATGTTTTCTTCGTCTTCCAGAAAAACTGTTTCCTAAATTTCCTACTTTCTAACTAATCAGCCAAAGGGATGTACCAATGCAAATAAATAAATAAATAAACAAATAAAAATAAAATAACTTCATATGAGCTGCGCTCCAGCAGCAATGAGTTGAAATCACCGGGGCACAGATTATGAACTAAGCTGAAAAGTACATGAAGTACCAGAGAATATAGGCTGATATAAATGATCGCAAATGAATAACTTTGTTTTGGTGGAGCGATTTTGTGAATATAACAGCGGCCACGCGCAGGACGCAGATGGAGTATTTGAGCCGTTACCGCTGCGTCCTCTCTGCTCATAGAATGCCCGCAAAGCTGAGTCCATAAATGATGTCATATATGTGAATACTGGATCTTTTTTCAGTCTTCCCGCAATTTGAATTTTTAGGAAACACATCTTGATTCTGGGGTTAAAAATGCATTGTAATTACCGCATTACTGACAATTGTACCGCGTAAATATTACCATTTTCTTTCCCTGTAATGCCTTACATTAACACATTACAGCTAAAAGTAATGCATTACAGTAATTAATTACTTTTGTACCGTGTTACTCCCAACACTGTCCATATAATACATGCTCTCATCTAAAACCCAAATAAAAAGCTTTGCTTGCTGCAACATCAACAAGCCACATGACCTGCTTCTGCTGTAGATGCTGCTTTAAAACCGTGAGCACAATAAGAAGGGATCTCATCATGCTGGTGGCAAGCTGGCGTACTTTTCTGTACAGATCCTTGAATATCCTGATACAGCTCTTTGCGTCCTTGACCATAGCGCTAAAATAAGAAATTATGATAAAAACAATTTCCCCTCAGGGTCAGAACGCTGCTGACATTTTATCAAAGGGAATATGAATGTGAGCAACACGGTGGCCTGGAATGTTAAAGGCCTATTCTGTGTATCTGGAAGGTCAGACTGCAGTGAACCACATCAGTGCATTTGTCAAAAGCATTATGAGCTTAGCAGTGTGTTTATTTCTGTCGTCACTGCCATAAAGCAAACATTTAATAGGATAAGTGATGTTTTATTTTTTTTATTTTTGACTGAATCATTTCAGGCCCATATCCTGTTTATAGCTGCAGCTTGTGTTGTGGTTCCTCTGGTCAGTGAATCATGACTGCTTGGACATTAAAACTGTTAAAACAAACATCCTAATCTCTACAGATAATGTATTTTAGCTTTTGAACTTCATTTGAGGATGACTTTTCAGGTGTGGTTTTCCAATCAAGGAAACATTCTTCTTTCTAAGAGATTATTTTTTCTGTTGGGAAACAAATACATTTTAGACAATAATGTACGACACCTTCATTTTTACCAGAGTGTGACAAGAAATAAGAAAAAAAAGTCTGATGATGAGGGTAAAAGTACAGTTCAGTGTTCAAAAAGTGTTATTATTTAATGACAAAAATTCATAGAGCCTGAAGGAGCAGCTAAAACACACACACACACACACACACACACACACACACACACACACACACACACACACACACACACACACACACACACACACACACATTTCTATAGTGTTTAATTTAGTCCATTGTTACTATTTTGCCCCTCATCACTAAAACAGTTGAAAGGGTGTAGCGTCATGCTATCTGGAATTTTCTCCTTCCGTGCAGGCAGCAAAAGACGACGTCGCCCTCTGCTGCTCGCATCCTTCACGCTGATAACACGGTCCCATGTGTGATCCGACGTGTAAACCCCGTTGTCTCTGTTCGTGGTGTTGTGTCTGTGTCTCCATATCTATATCGCTTCCTTAATCCATCTTCTGTATTTTTGGTGTTCCGTGTTTATGATCCGTGTGCTGTCCCAATCCATTATGTGATTTTCCCTTGTGCAATGGTCCGTTACCGCTGATTTTTTTATTAAACGTTCCTACCATAAACAGAGACGACAGTGTTTATAGGTAGGATCACATTGTGTTATCAGCGTGAAGGATGCGGGCAGCAGAGGGCGACATCGTCTTTTGCTACCCACACAGAAACAGAAGTGACGTCATGAACAGCTGGCGGCTCTGACGAAGGCGGAAATTCCAGCAGAAACATGTCAGCCAAAGATAAAGAAACATCTAATGACTTCACTGTGTTAAATAAGAAAAAAGAAGATAACTGTACTCCTCTGTTGGTGTGCCCGTGTTGACCACCAAGACAACATTGGATGTAACGCATTTCTGGGGTATCCTGCCATCACTGCAATTATGTCTCTTGTGTGCTTATGTTTTCAGACTTTTTAACAAGAACAAATTTGTTCTTCACCTTTCCATCCATTCACCACCTCTAAACCCACATTTTCCATAAATTCCTGACACAAATAAAAAGTCTGCTGCATATCTTTGTACTCCTTCAGTCACTGTTTTATTCTCATATATCATCTGATGTTTCACCGCGTGACGTTTTTCAGTCAGCTCCTTGTCTATGCTGCTAGATATCTTCGGCTCCCATTTCATTTTTAAGGGGTCATGGCGGTGCTGTTGATAGAAGTAAAGAAAACAACATTCTGACCAATCACAGGCTTGCGATCTCTGTCGTTTTTGACGGATAGTTAGAAAATTGGGTTTTCTACATCTGACCTTGCATACCAGTTGGGGAGTCCTTGTGACCATGGATAATGGCATTGTGTGTCTTCAAGGATAAAGAAGTATGAACTAGGCTTTAGAATAATTTCATTACAGTTTAAGAAAATTTGCAATAACAAGATTTATGATATATTTAAGAGCAAAATAGGTAAAAACAATCATCTTGAATGTAAATCACATAATTTATTACCACAAACAACGAGCCTTTTAATGTTTTGTCTATGTTCTATTGTGCATGATGACAGTGTGAATTTATTTCCACCATTACCTAAACCATTGGGCACACTAGGTAATGAATAAGTCAGATCATTTATATCAATACAATAAATGGGCTTTATGATGTGATAAAGACATATTACCAAGGAAAATTGGATGATTCCAGTGTTTAAACTGCTTTTAATGCAGTGAATGTACATACTCTTCATTTTCTTTGTGTACAGTTTAAAGTTGCAGTTTGTAAGAATATAGTGAACATTTTACAGTGAGAAAATGTCTAAAGAGTCTAATGTTTCAGTCATTTAGGAAGGAAGGTTATATTCAATCATATCTGGCCATGGATATTGTTTGTTTTTCTTCTTTCAAAACAAAGAAAGGACAGATGTAACTACTGTTTACCATCAGTAAGTGTGAGGTTGCCATGTCTCCTGCAAGCTAATACTGCAGCGCTGGCATTGTAATTTGACGACGGCTGGTAAAAAGCTCCAGAGTTGTTTAAAGTGGTTGCAGTTACCACATTTTACCACAAGACGTCATTTCTACTTCATTTACACATAATGCACCTTTAAATGTATGTTTATTTAAGATCATTCTAGTTTGTTAATGACAAAGACATCGGCAATCTACTCGACCAGTTTTTAGGTCTTCTTGAAGAGCCCATTCTGGGTGAAAAGATGACATGCACACATTGTCCTCTTGTGCACAGTCTTCGTGAACTCAAAAATAAACTGCAAAAAACTGAGCCGTTGTGGTTTCTCTCCATACAAACCCACAATACCTCAATCCATCAACATTTTCATTACTTTCAGAGCAGAAATAAGGATGTCCAGTCTGAGAGCTGAATGGGGCTTCAGAATGAAGACATTTATGGCTCTGCACGGTAAACAACCACAGATGGAACAACATTTGACCACAGGCGAACAAGGATAGATACAACCTGTTGACTGTGCTAACTATGCTAATATAGAATATTCCACTGACAGCTCCAGACATTAACACTATTTTAATCTTAATAACGGAACGGTGTTAGTTCAGGTGAAAGTTCAACCAAATAGAACTTCTGGTGAAATGATTATCCAGGAAGCACAGATCTGTCATTAACACTCAATATGTAAATACATGTGTTTTTTTTTTATAGTTTCAATGAATGCACCCATCTCATAGAACGTCAGCTAAAAGGAAACGCTAATCTGCAGCCTGATCCAAGCCCCCTGTAAAGGTTTCAAGTAAAATAAGCTTGCATAGGAGTATCATTTACGGTTTTAAGAGGAGAATCCTGGGTAATAAGAGTGCCCCCAGATTATTTCAGAAAACGATTCCTCCTCTGCTGGTCGGCGTCCAAACCTCCAGAAAGTAAACATAGCCATCACGGAGAGGAACATGGACATTCTTATTTACAGCATTCGATTCCGACACAGTATTCTTTTTGTTGCCTACTTTTGAATGTGAGCCAATAAAAAAAGAGAGAGGAATACACATCACACATCTGTGTGTTTCCATCCCCGG